TTATAACATGGCCTTGCCCCCATACAATCAAGCATCCTACTAAGACCAAATTCGGCCGAGTACAGTCCCATGTATGACGAGTGGGGAGTTATTACGCTCCCAAGGTAACGCGGAGGCATGCTTGAGCGTATCGTGCCAATGGTACATTTCCGGAGGGTTTGAGGGGAAAGGTTGGTACTGTACCTTTCCGCTATATCGACTTAGACAGACAACAGGGAAAATTTTGGGAGTGCTGATGACGGAACGAGTGAACTGAAAGCAAAATTCCTCTACTCTATATATCTGAGTACCCCGGTGCCTCCCATATCCAGTCATGGAGCCGACTCACCTAAATCACACTTATAGGAATAGTCTCATGTACATGCGGGTGAGGCCTCGGGCTGCTGACTGGGCCGTCGAGTCGGGTGAGTACATCCTGCACATTGTAGTGGCCAATCCAGTTCAGAGGGGCGCGGACCTTGCGGAAGAATATAAAATGATGGCCGACGGATGTTGCCCCACCTCTCCTGAATTGACCGAGTTGGTCAAAGCACCGTTGAAAGTGTATTATTCTGGAAGTAGCAATGTTACTATTGCATTGCATCTACTTCCATATGTGGGTATGGTTTCTAGTCTACTGGTTAATGTGGCTTTTAAAGGGGCTTGCTGAAACCAGATGTATATCAGGCTCTGGATGTTGTATATTTGAGCGGGCTACTCCGTACAGCGGGCTATATATACTTATTGCATGCGTTTGTACTAACCACTATACATGGAGCTGCAGATCACATTCCAGATCCGACTAGAGTATTCACTTACCTTGCAGCCCCCGATGGCGTCCATAGACAGCTTCTTGGCAAGCTGACTGCATAGTGCAGAGCCTTTGCAGTTTCCCAGGTTGGCATCGTCATACGTTAACTTCAGGGAATCCCTTGTTTAGAATCATCGGATTATATTGTGAAGGAGATCTCAGAATTCAGATATTAAAAACCGGGAATGTTTGAATATTGTACTGGAAATCGAGCATGCAGAAGTACTAGGGTATACAACATAGTATGTTATAAGGGCAACACAATGTCAATTGTCCGCTGTTTTGAACCCAGTTTCCAAGATTTGAACGTTAGATGTAAAAGTATAATACACTCCGTATACCAGTAGCATCAAGTATAAAAGTGGTACGAAGTATAGAGACAGTAATAGTTTGAATAATAAGTAATCGTAACTATCAGACACGAGGGAAGCTCGACCCTTCGACATACGCCCCCGTGTCCCCGTCCAATCTCCGGTGACCGGCCCCATCAGTGACGAATAGAAGCCCTTGGGTTGCCGGGAATTACCGCGTACTTGGGATCTTCGAAGTACAGAAAAAAAAAAGAGAGAGAGAATTGATATTAAACGAAAGCATTGAATGACAAATAGGTTGATTTTATGTTGTAGATGTTAGTAGAATCAGAGACTTAGGTATATAGTCCATACAATATAAACACCAAGACACGACTAATAGAGACAAAGTTAGGTTAAGTATTTTAATAATACCAATAATATGTGTTGTCCTACTTTAAAAAGGAAAAAAGAAAAAAGAAAAGAAAATGAATCTCCTTTTTTTTTTTTTTCGTATGTTGTATACTCTTCTGTACTATTTTACTCTTTTACATTACAATTTATGAAAAAGCCCCCCTCCTCTCTCCATCAGGTAATACACACCCACATCCCCCCCATAGGACCCTCTCTCTCCTTTTCTTCTCTTCATCCTTCCAATCTTTGGACTTTCTCTGCCTCGTTGACTCGTGGTAGAAAGAAATACTCGGAGGCCTTTTTCCCGTAAGTGTCTTGATTATACTGTTTCTTCCAATTGGAAAAACTATTCTATACCCCATATACCCTATTGAATAATATTAAAGACCACGGAAAACATACCCTCGGGTTTTACCGAGACTTGGATATTTTTTTTGTGATTCTCAATTTTCGATACTTTTTTTTCAATGTGTTGAAAAGAAGATCTGGAGAACTGTTCAAAAAAACGTGTGTTGTGGATCGACGCTCACATTTTTTTTCTCGACAGATCGCCTCTGACCGGATCATCTTCCTCCCCCCCTGAACTGTCGCACTTTCGGTCCTTTCGATCTCGACAATGTCTTCGTTTTACGAACCTCAGGGCTGGCAAGCACCCGCTGCGCGCCAGGTCTCTTGGGAGCAGCCGGCGCCTCCCTCCCGGTCAGGTATGGGATCAAAAGCCGAGCATCCGGAGCAAAAACTAACATTGAAAAACAGGATCGAGTTCGGTATCCCAGCGCGATGATACCCCGGCCTTTTCCTCCCAATTTGACGGTACGGACACACTTCTGCATGGATCTCTACAATTGCTTCTCCGAAAACCGAATCGCGTAATGCCCGGAGGAAAAGTTGGTGGTTTTGAAGCGAGGCGGTTGTGGAGATGACATGGGCATACTTTTTGTTGGAAACCTTTTGGAACGAGTGCTGATCTCTCTTTCTTTTTTTTTTCCAGAGGTCGATCGCGCGATCGACAATCTCGTCAAGAGCGGGAAGCTGTGGAATGCTCCTCGGCGGGATTCGATGCCCATGATGATGGGCCGACCCTACCCCGACTACGGTATGTTGCGGGCACGGATGGCACCCAGAACGCGTTTCTGACTTGTCTCTTGACAGACCCTCGTATGGGTGGTGGCCCTCAGCGACACCATTCGATCAGCGAGTTCGATGGCAACCGCATGCCCCCGTCTGGAAATGCCCAGGGTTTCTATGCCTCCCAGCGGTACCAGGGTCGTCCCAACGAGGTGGAACAGATGATGCAGGCGAAGCGTCGGATGGCAGCACAGCGTGAGAGGGAACTCCGCAACTATCACCAGGAGCAACAGTACAACCGAAGTACGTGGTAGCGTCTGTCTTCTTCTTTTTGAGCCTCGTTATATTCCCCCGTCGGCTTTTTTCATTTTCTTTTCACTTCCTCGCATCTATGTATCCGTCGGCCTGTGTAATATATTTGGTTTGGCTTCTTCGTTTTTCTTTGAACACGGGGTTTTAATACTTTTCTTCTTCCTTTCAAGGCCTCCTCGCCGAGATGTCTGCATCCAAATCCGACCGTTCCACCAGCCCTGCTGCCGTGAGCGAGGACAGCCGTCGCGAACTCCTCGCCCGCCAGCACCGCGCCCTGTACGGCAACGAAAGCCCGGCCTTCTTCCCGCCCGGTGCCTTTTCCGATGATAACCCACGCCCAGATAGCCAAGCCGGCGGTGGCACCCCATCGTCCGGTGTCCGTGGATCCTCCCCGCGAGGCGTGGACCCATTTGGCCTGACCCAGGCAAGCACCACTAGCGCCGATGCCACCGGCCTGCAGTCTCCCTCGCGCGCCAACAGCACCTCCTCGCCTAGCTCCGCTATCAACGCCGGCTTTGGCGCCGAGCAGCCCGTAACCTCGACCTCGTCGCCCGGAGGTGACTCGCCCTCATCCCGCCAGGCTCCTTCCAAGCCCGTTGCTGGTCCTATCGGCTCCGTTGGTCCTATCGGTTCCCGGCCTGCCCCTGGTCAGACCTCCGCGTCTCCTGTCAACCCGGCCTTGAACAAGCGCTCCATCACCCCTCTTCCTTCCCCGCTCGGGCTCGGCTTCACTCCCGCTGACCCCAGTGCTGGCCCCGTCACTGAGCGCACCTCCTCTGCCGGACCTACCCCACCTGTGACCTCTGCAGCTGGTGCTCCTGGCGCTAAGGACCAGGCTGGCGGCGTTGGCCTCGGTTGGAGCAACGGCAGTGGCGTCTGGAGCTCCAAGAGCGGCCTCGGCGTGCAAGCTTCCGTTTGGGGATAAAACACCTCAACCCCGGATTTCTGGTTTTTTTTATGGCATTACTCCAAGTTGGCGCTTGTTGCATTTTGGGACTTGGGGTTGAGCTGGCTTACTATACTAGGCGGAGGAAAAACAGGACAGGGTTTACTGGGAGTTGGAAATATATCTTCCAAATTGGTGTTGGATCGATCTGTCTGGATCATATGATGCCTTCTTCACCTTCCTCCGTTAAGTCTCGGGTTCAGCAGTGTTATTTTTGTTCTCTTTTTTGTTCATTTTTTTTTGGCTATTCCGGTGCCCGTGCGAATATGGTCGGAAATATGGCGCTTTATCTGTGATGCTCGTGGGCTATGTATGGGCTGTCTCATTTTTCTCGGTGTTTTTCATGTCGGATGCACAGGTCTTTTATCTTCTTTTCATCTTTTGGGGGTGGTGGTACGGGAAACTTGCACATTGTGACTTTTTATTTAATTTTGGATGCCTGTTTTTACTATATATCTCCATATGGAGATGGGGAGGCGAACAGAGGCTCAAAACGGATGTTTCTTGGATTTGGATATTCTTATAATTGTTTTTTCCCCCTTTTTCTTTTCTTTCGCCTTTCCTTTTAGGTGAGTGGGATTTGACTATAATGCAGTCGATGTAGGGTTACTGGAGTCGGTTTACTTCCAAGGTTATATTTTGAGCGGATACTGGGCTTATATACCTAGGTATAACGTTGTCATTCTATTTAGGGCTACTTATCTTCCAATGTGGTATCCTTATTCATATTGGGCTGGTTTGGCGAGATATGCTACGCGCCTACACTGATTTAAGATTACCTTCCATTCCAGTTCAATCCTGGTGCCAGGAGTTTCAAGGTTGCTTCTAGAGTACGCTGACGAGATACCTAGATGTTTAGAATAGGCGACCAACTGTGTATTGATATTCTCGAGATGAAGATTGGTAGTTTAATCTCAAAATAGAAGTAGCAATTGTCTGAAAATAATTAAGCATTAATTGAAAGCCTGCAAACAAAATCGTCTTTTTCTTTCCCAGTCCAGCATCGAAACCACCCGGGTACTTCTCAGCAGTAGCGCCAGCACGGACTTGGTGGGGATATAACGCAGCACACGAAATAAAATCCAAAAGATCCTCTTACATGTGTGGTCACATTTATAATCCTCAAAAGACATACACAAAAAGAAGAAGAAAGCAATGAGAACATTCATTAGGCGAACAATCAGACAGAGCTGTTGTTCACTGTGGTAGTGTGCCCGGGGATGTGCTCGGCGGTTTGGTCATGATATTCCACATCAGCAGGGATAGTATGCACGATCTTCTTCTTCGCAGTGAAAAGACCAACAACACCACGCTCCTGGTTAGTCCCAAGCCAGGGCTTACGAGCTTCACTCAAGACCTTCTGGGCAAGGAAGTAGATGAGCTGACCGACGATGATCAGAACAAAGGCAATTGGGTACATCCAGTGGATATGATAATGGAAGACCTTGACGCCAATGATCACACCCCAGAAGTTCATGGTGAGCATGGAGACGTTGAAGAAAGCCGCCGACGAAAGACGGAACAACAGCGGAGCGAGACAGTAGAACAGAGTCAGACACAGCGTGTAACCGGTGAGATATCCGCCGACTTTTCCGTTCCAGTGCGCCTCGTGGAAGGAGGTCCGGTCAAAGATACCGGCCTGCACGCCGTTGATTATCATTCCGAAGAATGACATCTGACCGAGGACCTCGTACACAGGCCGAGTGCTGACGAAGTACTCCTCTCCCGTGTTGGTGAGACCGTAGAAGGATGCGCCTAGCAGCGCGAACAGGTCACCCTTCAGCTGGTTTCCTTGTGAGATTTCTCCACCGTTTGTGCCGGTGATGTGGTCCGAGGCGATGAGGACGCCCATGCCGCCGATACAGATGACAATGCCTGCTATCTGGGTGATGTGGTAGCGCACGCGCAAGAAAAGGAACGAGATGACGACGACCACGACGATGGCCCAGAAGTTAATCAGTTGCGCGCTTAGCATGGTTGTATACTTGTATGCTAGAACAATAAAGTAGTTGCCCTGTACGTCACAGAAAGCAAGGATGATGTCTGCGGCGGTTAGCCGGAGTTCTATGTCCAATATGCGGGAGAGGAAATTGTTGACATACATTTCCAGCCGTCACGGTATACCAGTCGGAGCCAGCCCTTGAGACCATAACGGTACATCGTATAAGGAGTGAAAATGACGTTGAGTAGAACATAGTTTAGGAAGGTTTGGAACGCAGGAATTGCCCACTGTTCCCCGCCGAGTAGAGTCGTGAAGGTACCCGTCGAGGTATTGGCAATAGCGAGGATTTGACTGCGAGTAATTGGGTTAGGGGTTTAGGTTTGACTTGTAGCCTTTCAAGGTGCTACTTACCCTAGAACCAGGGTGATATAGAATTCTTTGGTCTTGAAATAGCCAAAGAACCCTTTCTTCTGGTCGACAAGGTCCGCAGGTTGCACAGGGTGCTCGGAGGCTTCCGCCTGGGAACTCGAACGCTGTGCACCAATCTGAGAATCCTTAGCCAGTGAAGACGTAGAGATATCATGGTCTACACCAGATGCCTGGACGGTGATTTGATCCTTCGACTCAGACATGGTGAACTGATGCAAGCTCAGAAAGTGGGGTTGTGTTTGAATTATGCAGGTGGCAAACCAGTTGCAGAATCAAGCAATATAGCAATATGGCAATAAAAAGGGAGCTTTATGAAAATGAAACGAGCGCAAAACTCCTTAAGTCGCTCGCGTATCGATGTATCGTTTGGCGATGAATCTGAAGAAGAAGCAAAAATCTCAAAATACCCCGAACGACCAAGAAGAAAAAGCGTCTGGAACCTTTCCTAATCGGGCCATAATCGATAAGAACTTTCCACGCTGTTAAACATAGCCAATCAACAATGAGAAAGTGGGGGCGGTGAGGGTCTGTGCTTCGGACAGGGCCGTCCATCTGGTCTTTTATGTCAGCAGCTTGAAGTAAGGTGGTTGATACTTGATAGGTACTTCATAAGAGAGGCTAAGTGTCAACTTAACTGGAAGTACTTCCTATGTACCCCTCCGTAGCTTGTAAATTATGTGGAGATCCATGCGTTGATGTTGACCTTGCAGAGAATATTTATAGATTTATAGATGAATCTTAAATTATATTACAGGATTTATGTTGTACACGAGTCAGACTCAGCTTGTTATAAATACTTCATGACATACAACATAAATTGACTGATGCCATTCCGAAACCCCTGAGAGAGAACATTGGAAGAATGAATTCCCCAACTCTGCCGATCACGGAAGAACACCAGAAGGATGAAGACAAAGTAGTCTAAGTTTGAGCATAAGCTGCATTCCTAGTAATATAGCATATTTCTTGTCTTGTGTACACAATATACTAGGTACATATGTACCTACATAGGTAGTTCCGGGTGCCTAGTTATATTCTTCTATACCTGAGGTACCTTAGGTAGAGATGAATAGAGATGAAATTAGGATAAACAGGGATCATAGGGATCATTTTGGCCATTTGGAATCGTATTCTCTTCATATATATCTTTTGAAGAAGCTTCTTGTTAAACTCCCGAGGACTTTTTAAGGGGAAATAAATAACTAGTCTAGAAAACCCCCCAAGTACCTGCCGAGGCCGTCAGGTGGACCTACCAGGACTGTTTCCGATCGTCATCCCCTCCGCAGACTCTTTCATCATTGGGATCTCCACCTCCATTCCCTCTTTGCGTCCCTTTCAAAACCACTTCTAAACAAACCCCTACACAATCTTCCGATAACCTTCTTTAAAGTTCATACCTTCCCCCCCACCCACCGCCCTTTGGCTCTCCTCTCGCGCCGGTGCACTTTTATCAGGCCCGGAGTGACGAGACGCCTTTCCCTGTTCCTGCCGGACCATGGCGCTGGAAGTACAGCCGCCCGACGGTCGCAGACGAGTGAAGGTTTATGAACTAAAAGATAATGATTGGTTTGACCGAGGAACAGGCTTCTGCACCGGTCAGATCTTAGGAGTGAGTTGTCGCGTGTTGTGCGCGCACTGGGGGTTGTGCGATGTTTCATCGCGCGCAATCCCGAGCGCATCACCATCATCATCAGTAACTGATAGCTTTGAACTAGGAGGAGCCTCGCATATTTGTCGAATCCGAAGACCTACCCAATCGCGTCCTACTTGAAACGCGGATCACCAAGGATGATGGCTACCAGAAACAACAGGGTACCTATCCCGCCATCCTCGTCTCATCATTGTTTAATGTTCTTTTTTACTAACCGTATCGCGCGATCCAGAGACATTGATTGTTTGGACGGAGCAGAATGGCACGGATATGGCGCTGAGTTTCCAAGAGGCGGAAGGTTGTGCGGTCATTTGGTGAGGAATCAACAAAAAATCTTTGCGCGCATGGACTAACCCCATCAAAGGGACTTTGTTAATGCCGTCCAACAACACCTCCTGAGTCTCACTTCAGCTGGTAAGCTTTGCCGCGTATTTGGAAGCTGGCAGCTCTGATTGTTTTCCTAGATGACGCCTTGTCCGACGACCTCGATAGCTACCAGTCCATCGTATTACCGGCCCCCGAACTCGGAAACCTCCCCGAAATTGAACAGATTGTACGATCGGCGAGCATGACACAGGGCGGCCGAGATGCGCTATCTAAATACATCATTCGCGACGAGTACATCGCCAAATTGGTACCGCTAGTGTCAATGGCTGAGGATCTGGAGAGCTTGATCGATTTACATCGTTTGTGTAACATCATGAAATCTCTCATTTTGCTCAATGACAACACCATCATCGAAACCGTCGTCGCCGATCATGTTATCCTCGGAGTGGTCGGGGCTCTGGAATGTACGCTCTACCCGGCTTCACCCTAATCCAGAGCCCAGTGCAATTGATACTGACGAAAATAGATGACCCTGAATTCCCCACACATAAAGCAAACCACCGACAATACCTCGCGGACAAATCGCGATATAAGGAAGTCGTCCCAATTAAGGACCCGATCATTCGCCGCAAGATTCGGAGTACATGGAGGCTGCAATATCTAAAAGATGTGGTGCTGGCTCGGATTTTGGATGACCCGACCTTTTCGGTGCTCAATTCTCTCATATTCTTCAATCAAATGGAGATTGTGAATCACATCCAAGCAAATGGGCCCTTCCTCCGAGACCTCTTTCAAGTTTTCGACCCGAGAAATCCGGACCAGAGACGCAAGGATGACGCCGTGCAGTTTCTTCACCAGTGTGCTGGCATCGCGAAGAACTTGCAGGCGCCGTCGCGGGCCCAATTATTCGCCAATTTTATTAGCCATGGCTTGTTTGCCGTGATAGCGTTTGCCGTTAAGCACTTGAATCCAGCTATGCGCACGACTGGCATTGATATCTTAGTGGTTCTGTTGGATCACGATCCAGTCATGATGAGAGGTTATATGCTCAAGGCTGTCAACGAGAAAAAGACACCACTCACCGACACCTTGATCGACCTTCTTCATGTGGAGACCGATCTCGGCGTCAAAAACCAACTTGCTGATGCTATCAAGGTTCTCCTTGATCCTCAGATTCCTATGCAGGACCCGCTTGGTCGGGCTGGACCCGATTACTTCAAAGTTCGCACCAACAACCTTCTCTCTGACGCATTTGTCCAGCAACATTTTGATGAGTCCTCAAAACGGCTTTTCCAACCGCTTAAACAGCTTGCAAACCGCACAGCCCGTAAGTGGCGTGAACTTTTTCTTTTTGGTCAAGACTTTGCTAACTATACGTCTAGTTAATGATTTGACATTCCAAGAGGTCACCCTCTACTCGCATCTTGTTGATATCCTCACCTTCTTCGTCCGCCAGCATCTCTTCCGCACTCGTAACTCTATTCAAAGTGAATCTCTCGCGCCTCGCGTTGCACAGCTTCTGCGGGTACCCCAGAAACACCTCAAACTCGGTCAGTGTGTAGCCCTTTTTTTGACCCAGAAGCCATAGCTAATGCCGAAGACAGTCGCCCTCAAATTCTTCCGCACCTTGATTAGCCTTCAAGATACCTTCTACCAAGCTCTCATGACACACAATAACACTTTTGAGTTGATTCTCGACATCGTCTACGAGACAATGCCTCGCGACAACCTGCTCAACTCGGCCTGTCTTGAACTTTTTGAGTTTATCAAGCGGGAAAACATCAAGCCTTTTATCCTTCATGTGGTCGAAAAATATCGCGAGAAGCTCGAGAACATCATTTATGTTGATACTTTCCAGAGTCTGATTCTTCGATATGACCAGATGCAGGGATACGGAGCCGAGGCCGACGCGACACTATTTAGTCAGGATGACAGCAATGCTCCGCGGAGAATTCCCCTCAGTGGCCAGCGCTGGCAGGGTGCAAGAGAGATGGACCCTGCGGAAGAGGAATATTTCAACGCATCCGACGAGGAAGATGAGGTAGGTACCTTCTGGATTGAGAATGTTTAAGCAAACCACTGACCAATAAGATAAAGTGGACACAAGACCCTGTGGTCACCACGGATGAACCTTCAAGCGAGTCCGCGTCTGCGGTTGTCAAACCATTGGTTGACTACCCAGATGACGACGACGAGGACATTATGGATACCAAACCCGAAGGGGCAGAGCAACAGCCGGTGGCCAGTCCAACGGATACTTCCACCGAGGTTCCTGCATCATCACCCACCCAGAACCCCCGGAGCGACTCGCAGAGAAACGTCGCCGCGAGGAGGAAGACGATGACGAGCTTAGCAAGCTTACCGCGGGACCCAAACGAAGAAGTTCAACTAGCGGCAATTCTGGCGCCTTTATCATGAATCGGAAAAAGAGCCAGTCTCCCGGCTCACTGGCAGACAAGAATGCCCCACCGGGTGTATTAAATAGGGTCACCAGCGCAGCGCCCAAAAGAATCGCCATCAACATTGGATCAACGGCCAAACCATCTATTTCAGAAACCAACACAACACGCACAGAGGTGACGAGCGAGAGTTACCAAAAGGAGAATCGTGACGACAGTCAGGGTAACGAGAGTGGATGAATATATCTCATAAGCCAGGCGTTTTTCTTGATTTAAGTGTGCTTTTTCCATGACCTAGATAGCAGACTTGGTTGCGGGATTGATTTCCCATATTTCATCTCTTGCTGTTCTTTGGGCGATGCCCTTTCTTCTTGTTCCGTTTCTTTTTCAAGGATATTCCTTGCCTGTTTGCCTCTTGGTTTTATGAGGTTTTGTCATCTCTGGCCTGAACTAGCGTCAAGTTGAATGTTGATGTACATGGCATGGCGTCTGGGCAATGCATTGGATCTAGCCTTGCGGTGTCTATTCTTTTTATTTTCCTGGTCGGGTTTAGATACCGACTAGTGGAGGAGCTCTGCATCCGCGGATGGAGTCGTTACAATATATCCTGCTATCTTCATGGTGTTCTTCACCTGTGCCGTAGGTACGGCCTGCACAGTATCTGCCCTGCCACCTATCAAAATACCTATAGATTCCGGTTATCTATCTATGTGATTCTTTTCTTTCTTTTCTTTTGGTTTTCTTTATAATCATGTATTTTTTTGGATGAACGAGCGGTTATCACGGGTGGGTGTGCTTGGGTCCACCAGCCAAATCTGACTTCACCTCCCTATCAATCCCAGGCAATTCATTCAACCACTCCAGGGTAATCATATACGCCAAAAATACATTAAAAAGGGGTAAAATTCGTGTAATTATATTCCTTCAAATGTCTTTATCTTCAGCTGGACAACCACTAACCAAATCCAGACCACTCAACAACTTCGTAGCCATCTAGTTATACCTTCGATGAAATCTACATGAGAGAGCCCTACAGCAGATCCAATGGTGCAGGCCAAACAAAAAATGGCATCTGAAATTACCCCGAACACCTTTCTTACCATCACAGGTTCTCCATCAGACCAGAAGACAACAATCTTTTTCATTTCCGGCAATCCGGGTCTGATCGGCTACTACCACCCGTTCCTCTCTCTACTCGCAAAGCATCTAGATGAGCCAAAAGAGGAACCTCTAACACGCCTACCATCATTTCAAATTTACGGCTGTTCACTCAGCGGCTTTGAAATTGACGAACCTCAGCCCTCACCCTCACCGAACAATGCTATCGATCTCGACCTGGAAGATCAGATATGCTTTGTTCAGGGAAAGCTCGCTACCTTGATGGGCGATGAAGCGAATGGTAACGGCAAACGTACTGCGGATGCTGGAAGCAGACAAAAAGTCATCCTAATCGGACACTCTGTGGGCGCATACATCGCCATGGAAATCCTAAGACGACACCGCGAAGCAAGCCCCGAAAGCACCTTCGATATCGTCGGCGGAGCAATGCTATTCCCAACCGTCAAGGATATCGCCGCGTCGCCCTCAGGACAGAAATTGACGGTACAAACCCTACTCTTCTAACCAGATGCTGTTCTTCTTTGGTTTCGTGGCTAATCCCGCCCCGGGTGTGCAGACTCTACTTTCGATCATTCCCCGTCTTGCTGTGGTGGTTAGTTTCTTCGCTCGACTACTTACATGCCTGCTCCCAGCATCGCTTCTTCGATCTGTCGTCCGGCTTGTCATGGGTGATCCCCCCGTTCATGCTTTGGATGCTACGTGTGCTTTTTTGAAGAGTCCGGGTGGAGTCCGGCAAGCTTTGTATGTGTGATGTTCCTTTTTGGTCGTGGCTTTGAGTTTATCTAATTATTTCTTCGCCTGGTGGTTAGACATATGGCTGCCGATGAAATGCGGACTATCACTTCGGACAAATGGAGTGATGATGTTTGGGGCGCTGCGTCGGCGCGTGAGCCTATCGCCAAGCTGTTTTTCTATTTTGGTCGTAATGATCACTGGGTAGCTGATCAGACGAGGGATGAGATTGTTGCGGTGCGTGGGCGGCAGGGAGGACAGGCTGGGCCAACTATGGTTGTTTGTGAAGAGGGTTTGCCCCATGCCTTTTGTTTAAGTAAGTGGCTTATCGACTTTCACTATGATAGCATTGCTGACAGTATGTAGGGCACAGTGATGTGATGGCGCGAAAGGTTGCGGGGATGATTGGGCAGATTGCGGCCTGAGAGAGAGGCTATGGCTTTTACAATGGATAGAAATAGACAGGAACTGCATAAAGACAATGAATTTCGCCATTGGCGCAGATTGTAACGGGTATCCCAAGAGACGTTACGCCCATTCCCATCCGAGTAACAAAAAGCCCGAAGCTATTCAAATATGCCGGAATAAATAATAAAGATAGACGCCATGTACAAATGATTTAAGTCCAAAGGAACCATTCAGCACTCCCCTAGTGCCCCTGCCCATTGCCTTGCTGAGCTAGTCCTGCCCTCCGGAATAGATCTCCTAACACATCGGATTGCGGCTGCGGCGGGGGAGTGGGAGAAGGCATCTGATGAGGCATCATGTGTTGATAGTTAGGCTGCTGCGGGTATGGCTGCGGGTGCTGCTGCTCGGGGGCTAGATGGTGTGCGCGCACACTCCAAGCGTCATCCTGGGCGCGCTGCTGACCAAACAGATCCTTCAGAGAGATTTGACGTCCCATAGGCACGCTAGCTTGTATTTCCTCGATGGGGGCAGCCTTTGTAGAAGCCGCCTCTGCTGCGACATGCAAGCTGACCTGGCGCATAGCCTCAAGGCGCTCGCGAGCTAGCTTCATGCTCTCCCCCGCGTGGGTGGCGCACTCAAGGATCATCTGGGCATTTATGGTGCGACTCTCCGCGGTGGAGTTTGGTGGCGGCTCTGAGTAGATCCAGAGTCCGTAGATGCGCACGTTGTTTGTACCGCTCTGGTTGTTGGGCACATTCTGCGGGTGCAAAGGGTCGGCGATTCCATTTTGTCCAGCTTCGCTTTCGCCGCTTTCTTCGGTTTTGAGAATCACATATTCCTCTGTAATTTCGACATTCTCGCCGTCGGTGAGGGGAAGATCGAAGTTATTCAACCCGCGGCGGTTTAGCACGAAGGCAGTGTAGCGCTCTTCGCCTAGGTCACCCTGTGTTTCCTGGCACACGAACAGGGTCCCTTCAACTCCGTTCTTTTCCCATTGCTTTGTGGTGGGGCTGAAGATGTAGACTACTGCGTAGGGGGCGAGTGAGAGAATGGAGGTCACTGAGGGCTTGTGCCGACGGATAACGGAGAGGTTGAGCTCCTCGTTCGAGCGGGGCGGGGGTGCAGGTTGTTGCTGCATGTCGGAATAGTATGGAGCGTCCGATTCATAATCAGTGAGGTTGACAGGATTGTGATTATTCTGTCTCCGAGGTTTGCGTGAAGTCATGTTTTTCTGTGGGGGAGCTCTTGGGAAATTGTGAAAGAAGGAAGGAGCTGGGGCATATCGTCATTGCCAGCTCCAGCTCCGCCTTCGCGCTTATCCAGCTTCTCTCTACTTTCTACTTTCTACTTTCTACTCCCTACTCTCAATCCTCTTTTCTTTTGAACCTCAAGCAGAACATTCAGATACTGGCATATATTTGACTGCTTTCAGATTGGTCTCAAATATATTGCCTGTTCCCTATATCCTACGTGATGACGATGCGACCTTTCTCAACCTTGGTGGGATGAACCTCTCTGATGAATTGACCAAGCAAGCCATTGTGCATTATACAACTGATTCTCTCAATTCTGTCTATTTATCCTATGATAATCATTATCCCCTAATTTTTCTACTGCAACAACCCTCACAACCTATCTTTCCCTTGTCGGAATTAAGAACCGCCCAAGCGCACACAATATACACCACACTACATATCCCTACCCCACCGAACCTCGAACAATAACCAAGTGAGGTGAAGAATCTTCCTTATTTTCTGATTCCATCATATAATTCATACACCATGAGCACTAAATCTCCATCGTCGTCCGGGTCAGGGCACAAGAGCCATGAGTCGGAACAAGCGGAAGAGAGTAAGAACCCAGGACTCGACGTTTTGTCACTTTCGCGTGCGGTCCGAGCAAGAAAGGACGAGTACACGCGCCGGCGATCTATCCGAGTCAAGGTCGGCACGTGGAATGTAGCCGGCATCTCCGGCACCGATAGAGACGTTGGAAAGTGGTTTGTTAAAGGAGACGGGGTCTGCCCGAAGTTCTCTGGGACAAACTACGGACGAGAGCCAGAATTCGAATCACACAGCAAGCATGACCAGCAGAAATCGGACGGCGACAAAAAAGGAACGTTTCACTACAGCCCTGAAGAGATAGACCTGTACGTCTTGGGTTTGCAAGAAGTCGTCGATATCTCTTCCCCAACGGAAGCGCTCCGGCCGTATGTCGATCTGGCGCCATCCAAGCGGTGGAAGGAAGCAGTCCAAAAGGCGCTACCGGAAGGATATCAGCTAGTCTCTGAAATCCAGCTGGTCGGCTTGTTGCTCATGATATATGCGTCTCCCGCCATTGGAGAGAGTATTTCTTCTATCAGTAGTACCTCTATCGGCACGGGGCTGATGGGATACATGGGAAACAAGGGTGCCGTGGCAACGCGCCTTGTCCTGGGCGAAACGACCCGTTTGGTCTTTATCAACTGTCATCTCGCGGCAGGGTCCGACAAAGGCAGCTTGGAGCGGCGCAACTGGGACTCTTCTCAGATTGTCCAGCGTGCTAGATTTGACGCGGTTTGGTCCGAGGGGGAATCATCGGGTGGTTCGGGCGAAGCAATCGGAGATGAAGATTTCACCTTTTGGTTTGGTGACCTTAACTACCGCCTCGACGATATCCCCAGTGACGACGTGCGCCAGGTCCTTTCTCGGCATACTGCCAATGAGTACGATAAAGAGCGCCAAAGAAAGCATTCGTCAAGCCATTCTGGGAACCCTAAGGCCGATTCTGATGATGAGTCACCTTCTTCTTCTCCCCCGAAGAAGAGGAGACGGAGCCTGTCGTTGGATCTGTCACTGAACCTGTCACTGACGAGGAGATTGATCCTCATAATGACCCTGCCTCTCTTCAGACAACAATTTCCTCACTCCTCCCGCATGATCAACTCGGACTCCAGCAGAGAAAAGGAGCAGCTTTCCACAAGGGTTGGCGGGAAGGTGACATCACTTTCTTGCCGACGTATAAATACGATGTCGGGAGTGTGGCCATGTTTGATTCGAGCGAGAAGCAACGGGGTCCTAGCTGGTGTGACCGGATTCTGTTCCGCAGTCACCATGACAAACTGAGACATGAGAAGCTCGACCAGGAAGCGGAGGAGGCCCGAAAGAGGGATGAGGAGCTGAAGGCAGGCGGGATAGACAAGGCTGTTGCCGATGATAACGTCTTATTTGAATATGACCCTGACGCAGATGGTGTAGCCAGCGAGGAATACATATCAGACGAGGATCATGCCGCTGATGACGATGCAGGCACACTTGCATCGTTCGACTCTTCCCATGATCCAATTCGCTTGGACCATTATCTGTCACACCAAGGCATTCTTTCGTCGGACCACAAGCCTCTGGATGCTGTATTCACCTTGAGCTTTGATGCGGTCAATCGCGAACTCAAAACAAAAGTTCATCAAGAAGTGGCCCGTGAATTGGACAAGGCCGAGAACGAAGCTCGGCCGGATCTCACTATTGTGGTGGATAAACATGGTGACCAGGAGCACACAGACAAAGATCCCGACACGGTCGATTTCGGCGACATTGCCTTCGATGTGCCAGCTCATCGGTCCCTAACTATTGCCAACACCAGCGGCACCGCAGCCACTTTTTCATTTGCAGAGCGACCTAACGTTGACGAGAAGACCATTGCACAACCACCCTCATGGCTTGTTATGCACGTGTCCAAGTCTGCGGACGTTGCCCATGACACTGACCAAGCGGTGATTACTTCGTCTGGGACCCACACTCTGCTCCCTGGAGAAGTAGCGAATGTTGATGTCACAGCTTACGTTCGCAGCATCGAACATGTCCGATTGCTTAATATTGGAAAGGTAAAACTCGAAGACATCATGGTCCTTCATGTCGATGGGGGTCGCGACCACTTTATCTCTGTTCATGGCCGCTGGCTACCCACCTGCTTCGGTTGCAGTATCGACGAGTTGACTCGCATGCCAGAAGCGGGCGCTCGAAGTTTGGCCGAATCCGACACCCCTCACCCATCCAGGACAGATAGTTCCACGGGAATCCGCTTGTCAGCACCCCGCGAGCTTTTCCGACTGACTGAGGCGGTTTCCGAGCTGACAGAGCGCGCGGTCGCAGAGTGGAGCATGACAAATGGTGAATCTGAGGAGCATAAAGCCCCATGGACAACAGATCTCTCCGGGGGAGCATGGCCCTTTCAGCCTGATACATGGACTCTAAAGGACCAGGAGGCGCGTGCTTCGCTGCAAAGTTCCGTGCGTGAAGCCCTCGATACGAACAAGTCCCTCACCTCAGTATTTGCTCCTGAGTTATCCTCTCTTCATCGATTGGAGGTCCTAGCTGAAACCCTCCTCACTTTCCTCAACGCGCTCCAAGATGGTATCGTCACTGCGAAAGTATGGCAATATATGGAGGAGCAGATAACCGCACGTGAGAAAAGCAAATCCCCTCCTCGAAACTGGGAAGAAACCCAGGCCTGGGTGCTTGAGCATCTGGCCTACTCACCAGCGCACAGCGTATCATTTACGTTTGTCACTTTTATGCTCGCCCGCATCGCCAATGAAGTGGCTCCAGTATCGTCTGGTACACCGTTGCTCCCATTATCCAAGCAAGGAAAGCACATTGTCGCCAAAGAACCGGCAGATAAGCAGGCTGGAACTGCAAGCCAGGGTGAAGCTCAATCTCCTACACCAGCTTCGGCTACTGCCTTTATAAACAGCGGCAGTTTCCGCCGCAAGAACCGCTCCACGAGCACATCCGCTAGCGCCAGCCCTGAGCCCACCAGTCAGAACGATTCGATAGCACGCCGGCAATTAGTTGAGACTGCTCTAGCATCTATCTTTTCACTCGTGCTTATTTCTGCCTCGGCTCCGCTGCCGCCCAAGGAGAAAGAGCGTCGTATATCTGAAGAGCGGAGGCGATCAATCATTGAACCATTCTTGAAGATGGTTGGAGTGGATGATCGAGGCCCATCTGGGGGTCGGTCTTGATTTGTCCGGATGTTTTCACTCCTATAGACTTGACTTTTGAAGTGTTCCATTACACCACGTTGTCTTGATATGTATAATGCTGTACAAATGCTATATCTTCACCTTTCTCTCGCCTATAAAAAGGTTAATGACACAGGTTGAGCACCCTTATCTTTGAACTGAAGTCGATATTCCCATCCTACAGTATATGATAGATCATGCTCCAAAAGTGCTAAGCCCATAAATCAACGCCAATATATCCGTGGACCGATCCTTCGTCCATTTCCCAATGTCCATTGCGCACTAAATATCTTCAGTCAACAATAAATCAAAAAAAAAAAAAAAAAGAAACTCCAAGCATATCATCATTACACCCCATCCCCATTCCTCACCCCAGACCGTCGCTGCGGTGCCAACCCACCACCCTGCCGATACACACCCGAAGATCCCGCCCTGTCAGGTCCAGGTCCAGGTCCAGGTCCAGCCATCCCCTTCGACCCAGACTTGAACTTGGATCTCTGCTGCGACGCAACTTTCCGCCCCGGAAGCATACGCATCGCAGCATCCCAACACCCCGCGACCGCGCGCCCAGGCAAACAACCAAGCGACAGCACAATCTGAGCAGGGACAACAACGCACGCGCAAGCCCAGTCCAGCAGGACGAGCGCATAATTCGGACGCCGGGATTCCGCCGACCGCTTCGCAGCAGCAGCCAGGGCAATCGCGTCGCCGGCCTGCGTCTCGAGACGCACGAAGCGCTGATCAGTCTGCAGTGAGAAGAGGGCGGATCGTTTCTCGTAGCGCCGGACGGCGCGGTTAAGGGCTTCGATATCGGGCTGGATAGCTTTTCGGGTTTCGAGGGCTGCGCTGGCGACGAGGGATGGGGATGTCTCAGGCTGTTTTTGTTTTTGTTTTTGTTCTTGTTCTTGTTCTTGTTCTTTTGGAGAGAGGGGGTGGGTATCGGTATCTTTTTCTGTTAGTTGGGTTTCGAGACGGGCGGTTGCTGTCTCTGCGACGTGGGCTTCGAGCTCTTCGAGGCGCTTTGTTAGGTCTTGTAGGGTTGTTGGGGGGATGATTGGGTCTGTTGAAGATGATACGATGTGTTGGAGGTGTAGGGTTCGTTTTTGGATTAGCCTTAGGAGGTGGGCGACTGGACGGACTTCGGAGGCTAGGAGGAAGATTGTTAGGTTGTAGTTTGATACTAGGCCCTCGGAGGGTCGGGAGAGGCTGGATCGGATGGCGTGCAGGAGCCATGTGCCGACTATAGGGAATATGAAGCACGCGGCTAGAGCGGCGATTTCGTGGATTTGGAGCTCGGATATGGCGGTTGCCGCTTCTTTGTGTTGGGGTTTGTGGTCGTCGTGGTCGTGGTCGAGCTCGAATTGGGGATCGTCATGCGCGGGGAATCCACTTTCTTCTCGTCGGATGGCTTGGGCTGAGCGGTACCAGTCCCTTTTATATAGTTAATTAATATTAGTACTTTATTTTGAGGGATTAGAAGAGGAATCGTAGAGGAGACATACCAAGGCAACCGGACAGACCAATTGAGAAATATAGCGGCCAAGACTAGTAATGTGACGTCGGTGACGAAGGAGCTACCTTCATGGAAGAAAATGCCCGCAATTGCGGGCAGCAGGGCTAGTCCGAGGGGTGCAGATTGCCAATTCGATTCTTCATCTGGCATTGCATCATGACCTTTTGCTACACGAGGTAGAAATAAGTCGTCGGTCGATGAGCGGATGGAGTTGCGGGCCTCTGAGAGGGAGTCGGAGAGGATGGAGTTCCGTCGCGGACTCTCTTCGAAGGTGCGAGCGCGACGTGTGTTCAATGGGCGAATGGGCGAATCAGGCATGTTGATTTTGAAGGTTGGGAAAGGATTGTGTTATCCCTGAAGAGAGAGAGTATGGGGTAACATGCCAAGATCGTGATGCAATGAGCCCAAACTGGTAATTGTTCACGGTACTTACTAGATGTATGTATACACCACACTTTACTATATGATATTAACTAGAATAACTATGTAGGGTTTAGCGATAATAATTGGCTCATATTTAGCACTTTTTCACTTAGATTCTATATTTTGTGGTTGTATACTAGGAGAAGCATGACTGACTTTAGTAGCATACATACATGCCTAGGTGCCTAGGTGCCTAAGTAAAATTCACCAAGATGCGAGAGAGAACAGATCCTACAGATCCTACCTAGGTAGCTTGTTTCGCTTTGTCATTTGCCTAGAGACATTGAATCAGTGTGGTATACTTCCCTTGAGCTAGACAAACGGTAGCCTAATAACTCGTTTCTAATTGCCAAATACCGATATAGAATGGCTATAACGTCTAAACCTTCCATATTAGTTTAAAATGATACTTAAGTAGGGTTATGCGGTATAATAGTACTACTTCGGAAACTTAGGAGGCTCTAGGTAGGGTTGCCTAAAAGATCAGTTATTAGGAACTCGTAGGTCGGCTTGTAACACTCGGACCCAGGATCTCGGTGGTTCAAAGTTCCTATTTGAGACAAGGAATTCCTATTCGGAGAGACATGACCAGATAGAGTAGGGTTTAGCACTACCCCACAAAATGCGGAGTGCAGAAGATGGGGAAACAACCGGCATTTCTCCGTAGAAGATATCCGGGAGTTTTTGTAGGGATTATAAAGGTAGAGGTAAAAGTATAGGAAAATAGTATCAGAAATCAAACTGAACTATGGCCTCATTGACTAAATTCCTGTTGGTGTGGACATTGGTAGTCCAAACAATCGCCACAGCCGTAAATACAAGCTCTTTCTTGCCAATCCCCAACAAACCACGAGTATTCATTCTCTCCGATATCTCTAATGAGCCCGACGATGCCGAGTCATTGACCCGATACCTCCTTTACTCCAACCAATTCCACACGGAGGGCATTGTCGCCGTCACCTCAACTTGATTGCAAAATGAGGTCCATCCGGAGGATATGTTATCTGTGATTGATGCCTATGCGAACATCACGGATAATCTGAACCGACATGCGCCCTCAGATTCACCATATCCATCAGGAGGGCACATGCGCAGCCTCGTGCGATCTGGCCCTGCCGTAAGTTTGGATCTAGTCAAATAGTATCTCGCACTGAGAGCTGACAATGAGAACTTCAAGACCTATGGTATGACTGCAGTTGGGAAGAACATCACTCTTAGCGATGGAGGAAAGCTGCTCCTCGAGCGTCTTCAAGAGGAATCCGACCACCCCTTGTGGGTCCTCGCTTGGGGCGGAACCAACGTCCTCGCCCAAGTGCTATATAAGATTCACGATAGCTACTCCGTGACCGAAGCCGCTGACTTACGGTCTCGTATTCGTGTCTACGCAATCTCGGACCAGGATGACACAGGTGCCTGGATCCGTCAGCAATTTCCAGATATATTTTACATCTCCTCCACCCACGGCTGGAACCAGTATGGTCTTGCAGCATGGAATGCAATCTCTGGAGAAGACTACTACGGCGAGGACAAGGGCGGCCCTGATAACTCCAAAGTCACGCATAAGTGGCTGCGCGAGAATATTCAAATCGGAACATTCGGCAAGGCTGCCTACCCGAGCTACGAGTACATCATGGAAGGAGATACCCCGAGCTTCCTTTATCTCATTCAAAATGGTCTCGGTGTCTCCGAGCAACCAGACTATGGATCCTGGGGTGGCCGATACTCAAAAGTCAACCCGTCGACTATTCTAAATTTCAACCACTACAGCGATGCCGCCGACCACGTCGTCGGTGAAAACAATGCAACTTACATTTCCAACCGTGCAACGGTCTGGCGGTGGAGAAATGCCTTCCAGAATGATTTCGCCGCCCGTATGCAGTGGTCTCTCCCGGCAAATATCAGCAAAGCAAACCACCACCCGGTGATTTCGGTAAATGGCACTGCGGAGCTTGCTCCCTTGAGAATAAACGCAGCGGCCGGGTCAAGCCTTACGTTTGATGCTGCAGCCACATTGGATCCCGATGGCGATGCTTTGAGCTTCAAATGGTTCCAGTATCGCGAGCCCGGGTCAACTAACTGGAATGTGGCGGGTCAAGCACCTGGGTTCAATGTCACCTTGGCTAATGGTGGCAGGAAAGCACAGGTGCAGCTTCCTGTAGCTAGTGAGAGCTGTGCTGGAGAGGCTCTTACTGCCTCTGGCTGTTGGTTGCTACACTTGATCTTGGAAGTGACCGATAATGGCTACCACCCTCTCACGAGCTATCGTCGGATTTTGATTCAAACGACGAACACTACAGAGACTTCGTGATGTAAAGATTTATGAATCGAGAATATTTTCAGTCTTCTAATGCACCGATGTCTGGCAATGTGATTTTCTGCTTTAGTAAAATACGTCCTTGCGTAGATTTCTCCTTGTAGGAGGTTTTCGACATCATCCAAACTGCTTTTGTACGTTATCTCAACAGCTTCCAACTTCCGTCTGTGTCGTACAGGTACCTTCCAAGGTGGTCAAGTAGTTTTGGTGTGGGACTTTCGGCCTCTAGGAAACAATAAAAATAAACACAAGGACGCTATTTCCCCCAAGGCCTATCTTGTCATACAAAGGCGTGGCAGCGCGTGTAAAGAAGGGACAACGATATTCGCGGCCAAGGCCAACGCCGCCCTGCCTATTCGGGAGTACATAAGTTCATCTTCTCTCTTTCTCTCTCCATCTCTCTTTCTCTTTCTCTTCTCTTTCTCTCTTCCTCCTTCCCTTATCCCCTATTGTCGGTTTATTCCTTTCTTGAAAGAGGCGAGCACTTTTTGTTTTCCTGTTTCAAGTGCACAAGTTTATATCTCCGCTTGTTCTTTTCGAAAGTGCTTTGCTAATTTTTCATTCCCCATTGCGATGTCGATTGGGGTATTCCCTTCCTTGTCTCGAGCCATGGGATCAAGCCCCTTACCCTGAAGGATTTTAAACCATGGAAACGCCCGAACGGAAACCAGCGCAGCGACCAAATGCAACAGCGTCTGTCCATCCGGAGTGGTCTCCATTAGATCACAGCCCGCCTGCTCAAAAGCGCCAATAATTTCTTCCCCAACAGCATCATAGCAAGCCGCCTCCTTCATCATTGGGACGGGACCTGTCCTGAAAAAGAGCTCCAGCGCTGAATTGCCGTCTTGGTTTCGCACCTTCGGATCAACCCCGCGGGAGAGGAATACCCGAAGGAGACGTCTTTGTTCGTTGCCCATTCCAATCTTATCATTTTCGCCAAGTTTGCAGGCTGCAAGGTAATGGAGAACTGTGTTACCGCGGCTATCGCGAACAAGCGGGTCCGCACCCCCGACAAGGAGGTCGTCGACGGCAGTCTCCAATCTATAAATAGCAGTCGGGATGAGAGTATCTTCAGCTTTCATATATACGCCCATTCGTCTTATTGCAAAATGCAGTGGATAAAAACCGGCATAGTCGGGCTGATTCACTAGACTGGGGCAGTTTGCGACCAAATACTTGAGTCCGGCTTCAATGATCGGAGGTTGTACCTTGGCTTCACGGTGGAAGGATATGAAGAGCTGATGAAGGGCGTTTCTACCGTAGTTATCGACGGCAAGAAGATTTGCTCCATGGGATATAAAGAACTCGAGGAGAGTGGGGCCAGGGAGGACCAGAGTGTAACCTTCAGTTTCAGACTGTCTCCAAGGGTTGTTGGGTTGCGGATAGGGGTTTTCACGGAGGCCATGATAAGTGCTATCCTGAGAGAGGGCGTGGAAGTCTCCGTCGATGGATGCATCTAAGCCGATGGGGCTCCGACAGGCGGCCAGAAATAGCGTCCGTCCCTGAGGGTCCCGTCGTTCCAAGTCAAGCTTATCGCCTAGAAAGTCGAGCACGGGTCGAACTGGTTTGCCGAGCTCGAGTAGCGAGTGAAGAGTGCTGCATACACCGTACTTGCGCGGATACTGCGGTTGATACGCGAGAGCCATGTCGTATTCGCAATCGGACTCATAATCAGAATCACCATACTCAGGCTCTGACCTTCCTTGTTGTCGTAATTCTTCCAATTCAAGAGCCTTTCGAAGGATCTCAGTGTGGTTCATAGTCACCATCATAAGATCGGTCTCTTCATCGCTAAAGTCCTTATCCTCGGTGTCACCGGGATACAAAGGTTGGCCATGATGGATTTGGATAGGCTGACGAAACATTGCATAAGGGTCTGCGCCGTGCTGGAGCAAAGTTGTCATGATTTGTGTTGCTCGGCCGCGATTCTTGACAGCTTTGGCATTTCCATCTTGCGCAGCCCGACGAAGAGCAGGTGCCTCAGTGTGATCGAAGAAAAGTATTGGAGGACATGTGCTTTTCTCAGCACCAGCCCAGTCGTCTGCCACTTCAGAGAGGGCAGAGGCCAATTCATCAAATCCTACATTTGGATCGACACCCGAGGCTAACAGGGACTCAACCCGGTCCACGGAACCGTTCGTAGCAGCATCACATAGTTCGAGAGCGGTAATGTTATCCACCTGAGGCATGTTGAAATACAATTTCTTTTCTTCTGGTAGCCAGTTTGGTGTGATGAAACAGAGCGAATAGAAAGTAGATGAGAAAGGAGTGAGCGGGAAGAGCCCTATATTGTAGATAAGAGTCAATTGAATGAGGTAAGAGATCACCAGTTAGTTATCTTTTCAAAGTTACAAAAATACTAAAGAAAACAACTTTAGCAGACCGCGTACTAGTATTAATACGAATACAATTGTAAAGTACATAGGATTTGATGGATTTGATCCCTGAGGCTTAGCCCGAAAATGGAGCTGCTAAAACCCTTGAACCCCCCCACTTCGAGCGTAATTGGCTTCTGAAATTTACCATTAAATTACATATCACATATGTTATAACTACCATGTAACTAGTTAGTTAACTAGTTAGTACGAGTACGAGTACATAAGAGTGGAAGAAATGGATTCATTGAAGGCTCCGAATAAATATACATGCAATAGATGCATAATACCACATTGATATCATATAGTTAGAGCACGTAGTATACACATGTGAAGCTTCTATGTACACATCCAAAATCCAAAATCACCTAAGCGTAATGTCCGCTCCTGCTGGGATCTCACAGTGACCGGACGCAAGAGCAACTTGGCCAGCCTTAAGCGCAACCCAGTGGTTCCTATTGGACGGGAGATCTCGAACTTTGATAGCAGCCTCCTCAAGCTCGCCTTGGGTAAGACCCTCGTTTGCGTTTAACGTTGCCTGAGCATCGAGGGCGTCAAAAGTGTACCCTCTAATTCCAGTGTCCAAACGTTTCGTCTTAACCGTTTTGCCTTCGCCAAGTACCGATGCCAGCGAGCCTTTGGAGATGCGGTATTTTTCATAGTCCATAAGGCGCATCATATACGCCGCCTTGTTTGCTTCTCTGGCCTTGGCGAGGAGCTTCGTGACCATAGTCTGATCATGAAACTGGTCGACGAGAGCCGAAAGATCCGCAATGGGCCGAGTGACCATTCTGCGCGCTGACCAGAAATCTGTCACCCCGCGTACCAATTTATACCCCCGAGTGCCATCTCTATAGCCGGCATTGTTGATCCGAGCAAAGATTTTGGACAGGTCGGCATTTTCCCATTCAAAGTCCTCTGGGGGTTGGGGTTTGGACCATCTGGTGTTGCGGCGTGCTTGGGATTCCCATTGTGGTCCACTTGTGGTGCATAGATGTAATCCAAGAACTGTTTAAGCGAGCATCGCTTGCCCCCAGCCTGTCTGTCGGCACATCCGAGTGCAACAATCGGGGAATAGCCCACGCTTGATTCCAAGGCTTTCCCTTCCAACACATAGGCGTACCAGTACGACATCCTAATGAGTAATGTATTTTAGCTTCGAGACGCACAATAAGCCAAGAGGCATCATCATGTATTTCATGCATGTACTCACTCTTCGGCAACAGCTCGTGGTCCGTATGCAATGACGGGTCCTAGAACGGCCCCCCAAAGGAAGAACAACTGAAGTGCAAAGTTCTTCATCTTAGCGACCAAAAAGCGACGAAAGAAAACGAAAATTCAAGGAATGAACCGCAGTAAGGCTTTTGGAAGAAACCCTGACTGAGTGAGCCTTGTAGAAGCGACAAAATAGAGCAACCTCAGAAAGCTATGGAGTTATTCCCTATCTCTATTTCAAGGAATAAGTCCGGCCATCATGGCAATGAAACAGCTCTAATGATTTCCTTTATAAGAACTTCCAATAGGACGGATAGTCTGCTTGTATTGGCCCCAAACATATAAAGCCATACACGATATTTACCACATTACCACTAGGGTCCATTCACGATAGAGCATGTTAAACACGAGAAGAACTAAGGGGCTAGTGCCGTATTTCCTTTTACTAGTATTTACTAGATATTTACTAGACATCTTAGTACTGGAACTGCAGCATTGCTATGGATAGTAGTAGTGAACTTTTGGGTGGATCCTCCAAGCTTTCGCTACGATTGCTTAGCCCCTGGAAAACATTGGCATAGCCTTGGCTAGGGTCACAAAGGAACAAAGGCACCAATAGCGGGTCCAATAACAACGATCCGAACCGAGCCGCGGATATCTAACGTTGCTTAACGCCCATCGGAGGACTATCGGAGGACCGTCGGAGGATTCCCAATGGGGGGCCATTCGGGGCCTCCTGAAGGATTTGGGGCTGAATATGCAGGAGTCTCTCAGGGAAATTATGACCTACACCATCATCACCAAACAAGGTGAACAAACAGGAATCGCCAAGTGCCCTAATTGGAAAAATGGAACCTTTAAGATTGGGCAAGGTTTGTTCATGTGTCTAAGTGCAATATAATATCAATACACTATATTCTGTTGACTCATATCTGCTGCCGCTTCAGGTTTACTTCCGGTTGACTAGGGATGTATACCGTATATGGTCAGGAGTCCTAGTTTTTGGCCCCTGGATGGAGCTTGTGATGCTCCAGCACGCGGATGTGGGGTTGTATCAAGGGCAAATGTAGGACAGGTTAGTGTACGGAGTACTGTAATTTGTACGGAGAACAATTTGGGGACAAAACTGAACAGGAGGAGCTTGCTTCATCTATACATACATATATGGACAATTTCTCAACACCCGAGATCTCGCCATCAGACTCTGTTCTCTCCGGGAGGCATATACATCGTTGCACCTTTTTCTTGGATGTCTGTCTCTTTTATATTATTCTTTACAATTTGTTAGCTCTTCTCCTTCCTCTCATTGGACCTTTCCTTTTTGTTTTACAAAGACCACCCTTGGGGGGTTTTCTTTTTCAAGTTCGCAAGATGCGCCTACCGAAAGGCGCATCGGCCATTGGCCTGGCAATGATGTCCCTTGCCTCCATGGCCAATGCCTATCAATCTGCTCTACACGCTTGTCCAGCTCCTTGTGATAGTGTGTCAGGAGACTGGACCGTCTACACATCGGTCAACCGTCTGCAATATTGTAAAGAGCCTATGCTGTTGGACTTTTCTCTTCACCCGGGCCTTGATGAAGAAGATAGAGTGACCAAGCTATTTGCCTGTACCTCAAACAATATGACCAGCAACACTATCACATCGGGTGCTCCCTCAGGCGCCCAGAACTCTGCACGTGGCCATCATGCCATTTCTCATAAACGGTTCCACAACAGAGACATCCATTCTACATGCATATCGGGCGAAGAACAGAAGATCTCATTAGATCTGATTACGGATTCAGATCCCGGCTCTGTCTCCGTTAATGTCCTCCAAACCATCGTTGAGCGAGTTCAGAATCATCTCGGCAATACGTCCCATTGTGACACTACCAGTGTTTTTGGCTACTATAATGGGGTGGCTGTTGGAGTGTATGTTGGATCTGCCATTGACAATCCCAAGAGCACCTCATCTTTATTCCAGCGCTTCTATGAGCAAATACCAAGGGGCCAACATGCGAAGAGCATGGTCATGCAACGCTGTCGGGACGTTTCAAACGCCGACTACACTATCGGTCTGGCAGTTGATACCACCGGAGACTTGACCTCTGTGCAAAAGTCTGTCCACTCCTGGAGTAAAGGACAATGTGCCAGCACCGACGGCGTGAACACCAAAATCGACGGTGTTCCTGTTCTGGAGAAGGCAATGGGCCGTGTCCTTAACAGTAACAGCACGGTTGGAGGTGAACACATCTCCAAACGCAGTGATTGCCGAACGATAAACGTCATAGGGGGAGACACTTGTTCTTCTCTGGCCAAGAAATGTGGAATTTCCCCAAATGACTTCACCAAATACAATTCCGCCAAGACCTTGTGCTCTACACTGGCGGCTGGTCAGTCTGTATGCTGTTCTGCCGGAAGCCTCCCGGATATCCGGCCAAAGCCTAATAAAGATGGTTCCTGCCACACTTACACGGTGCAGGCACACGATGTGTGTGACTCTATTGCGGCTTCTAACGGACTCAAGGCATCAGACATCAGCGATTTCAATGACAAGACGACGTGGGGCTGGTTTGGCTGTGGTAACCTTCAACTCAAGAGCCTGATCTGCCTGAGCAAGGGTGACCCCCCAATGCCAGCGCCAGTGTCCAATGCACAATGTGGTCCTATTGTGGCTGGAACAAAAAAGCCAACCAATGGAACAGCTCTGGCTGATCTCAATCCATGTCCACTCAACTCCTGTTGCGATATTTGGGGCCAGTGCGGCATTACTCCCGAATACTGCACAAATATCACAGGCCCGACAGGAAATCCCGGAACCGCACCGAAGTACAAGAATGGATGCATCTCCAACTGTGGCACAAATATCACTAAGAGTAGGTATACACCTGAAACGTTCATGAAGGTTGGCTACTACGAGACCTGGAACTACGACCGTCCCTGTCTGAATCTTCGTGTCGCCGACGTTGGTGTCAACGAGTACACTCATATTCACTGGGCATTTGCGGAAATCACCGAAGACTTTGATATCAAAATCAACGACACTTATAATCAGTGGAAGGATTTCATTGGTTTGCCGAATGTTAATAAGATTCTCTCTTTTTGGTGGCTGGGGCTATTCCACAAGCCCTGCAACTTATGATGTGCTTCGAAAAGCCATGGACCCGGCGAACTCGGGCAAATTTATCGACAATATTAACAATTTTGTCAAAAAGAATGGCCTTAATGGCATCGACTTTGACTGGGAATATCCTGGAGTAAGTTCATCGGTTTCTTGTTCGTCGTTGTAATAATAATGTGCTTACGCTTCCGATTTAGGCCACTGACCTCCCCGGCATCCCGAAAGGTCTCGCTAGTGATGGTACCACTTACCTCAACTTCATCAAGAAGATGAAGCTCAATTTCCCATTCGATAAGACTGTCTCAATTGCCGCCCCGGCATCTTACTGGTATTTGAAGTCGTTCCTCATCGATGAGATGGCAAAGTCTTTGGACTACATTGTTTATATGACCTATGATCTGCACGGCAAGTGCCCTGGAAATTATTTCATCGAGTGTCTATTTGCTAACGACAATTTTGGGCTTTAGGCCAATGGGACTACGGCAAACAATGGACTCAGGAAGGCTGCCCCCATGGCGATTGTCTCCGCAGCCAAGGTACATCTTCCTCTTGCGCTGTAGATCACGATAAAGGATGCTAATTCGATATGCACAGTGAACTTGACTGAGACAAAATACTCGCTAGCGATGCGTACGTTATTCCTTTCCCAAGCCTCTGAATTTCATTGGTTGCTGATTTTTCTGTATAGTCACGAAAGCCGGAGTGGATTCAAACAAGGTGTTTGTGGGAGTTCCAACTTACGGACGTTCTTTCGGTATGACCGATGAATCTTGCACGGGTCCCAACTGCCATTACACCGGAACCAACTCGGTCTCAAATGCCAAAGAAGGCAGATGCACGAAGACTGCAGGTATTATTGCAAATGCCGAGATTAACGAAATCCTTGCCATTGGAAACCAGACAAAAGTCTACTATGATGCGGGATCTGATTCCAATATCATTGTTTGGGACAATACATGGGCTTCCTTCATGGATGGTGACACTATGAAAAGCCGCACAAGTTTCTACAAGGACTTCAACTTCGGTGGAACGGTCGAATGGGCCGTCGATTTAAATAAATTTACCGACGATGACAACAATTACGATGACTCTTGGGATGAGCCTCCTGTTCCTAAGCTTGCCGCCTGTACAGAAACCTTCCATAGCATCGAGGCCTTGGGCAATGCCAGCAGCACGATCCCTGAGCATTGTGTCACGCAGTATACTTTGCAGACTCTTTCGGACTCGCTTAGTGCTGCCATGAAAAACTACACCGATCTTATGAATGATGGATACGATGCGAAATTCAAGATTTACGCCGACACCGTTGCAGAGAACGCAGGTGCCTCCGTCCATGACTTCGTCTACCAGAACGGCAACAAGTATTTCACCTGCAAGGTGGACGAAGACACCATTTGCTGTGACCAGTGTCATGCGAATAAGAATACCTACAACTGTGACCTTTGCTGGTCAGACAGTGCTTGCTACACGAGTTGTGATTCCCTTGCCTGTCAACAGAGTCACGGATTTGGCCACCCAAAGCTAGTTTATAAGCGGAAGTCAGAGACTGAGCCATGTCCACCAGACTACTCAAAGCGTTTTCGAAAGGATCGAGATCATCCCGAGAGTGTGCACTGGTCTCTGGATGATAGTAAGGCCACCAAATTCTGGGCTGACCTCTATACGAACACTGGGATCAATCAGTCCCATATTCAATTCGGGCAATACACTCGTCAGAAAACCTGTGGACCATCCGTCAAGAGTGACGATGATTGTTGGAAGACCGGCTACGACTACAATATCCCACTGCCAAAGGGCTACGATGCGTCTGAAGTGTCGAACCCCAAGGACACGGCCAAGAAGGGTCTTGACAGGGCCGGGTCCTTGAAACCGCAACTCTCCACCGCACTATTTCAAATGGCCACGGACACCTGGGTTGGGGACGGTATGGATCTCATTGACTCCATCTCACTGCCTATCTTGATGATTGTGTCTGCCGTCCAGGAGATGAGCGCGGTTGAGAAGATTGCCGAGAAACTCAGCGCGGAAGAAAAGAAGCTCAAAGAAACAGAGATCATCGGCGGCTTCCTCACTGCCATCCTCTTCATGGTCCCCATTGCTGGGGAGGTGTTAGGCACAATTGAGGGATTGGCTGACGTTGGCCTTGTGCTCAGCATTGCCGGAACAGCCGCAGATATCGGCACCGGTGTCGCCGATATTGTGAAAAATCCCAATAACGCCGCATTGGACATCATGAACATTGTCTTTGACGCCGGGTTTTTGGCTGGCGCGACAAAGGCTTCCAAGGCAGCTAAGCTCCGTCGTGAGATGAAGGAGGCTGACATTGCAAAACTTGGTGACAAGGTCTCCAGTGGCCTGAAAAGTGTTGACAAACTTACCGGAAAGTGCTCCTGATGAGATTATCATTTGATGACTCTGGTTGATGTTGGGGTGATGTGCATGGGAACGAGGCATGGATGTCGAGAAACCGAGGAGAAACAAGTGAACTTGGTTGGAAGAAGGGGGGTTCTTAGATTCAAGTGACCAGAAGCTGAATGCATAAGTGGATAGACTCTGCAAGCTGTTGTAGTGGATAGTACCACAGTATAGGGGAGAAAGCAGAAGAAGAATAATTAATGTACTATTAAGGCTAGAAATGCAGGGGTTCCATCCGAACAAAGGCTCATTCTGTAGCAAACAAGCAAATGGCAAACATGCAAGCTTGGGATAATGTTCAACACAAACACCATGTTATTATTGTAGTATTGTGTCCTCTCTGGGTGCTTCAACTCTCTCTCCCATCTAGTGAATCTGAATATAAACAGTCTAGATTAATTAGTTATGTAGTAACAAATGCTAAATGTTTCCACATTCTCCAGGTTTTCTCTCTCCTTTACTTCTTTTCACTTCTTTTCACTTCTTTTCACTTCTTTTCACTTCTTCTATAATCCTCTTTGTCTGTGCTATCAAAACAACAAAGCCCACTGAATAGCATGCATACGGTTGTGTTTATTAAAGTGCAAAGGATGAGCCATTATAAAGTTAGGACGCCAAGAACAGTCTGTGTACGGAGTAAATCGTAGATCATTTGGGAATGAACCTAAGGGAGGCTCCCCTGGCGCGTCGGGTTGAGGTGTGGCTGCGTATGCACCCATCATCTCTCGATACATCAACTTCCTCACACCTCAGGAATCTCGTCTGGATCATCTGAATAGACGAGACACATCTCAATAAGTCATGAATCATGCTCCAGCTGAATTTCCCAGATCGGCAACCAAAATATCAGCCGGGTCAAAAATGAATAAAGTCCCCCCCGCCTCGGGTCTATTGACACCCAAATTCGGATTAGTGTCGCCTCGCACTATTCGCTCAACCGCAACACAACAGTCGATGCATCTCGTGTTTCTTTATTCAACTTCTTTCAACTTCTTTCATCTCTCAATTGTAAGTTCTTTAGTCTAATTCAATGCTAATCTAATGGATAGGTTTCTCTGCCTGTCGTAAAATATGTCAAGGCCTGGTACCCCAGCTGCGGGTTATGTCTCTGCAGCCCATACATTCTCCGTGAATAGTACACCAATTTTCTCAAGGCATAATGTCTTGAGCTGTCAATTAACCTCCTGACTCTCGTTATTCGGATCTCAATAAGACATCGTTCCTCAATCGTCTCCCCTGACGGGATATACATCCTTCGTCGAGAGAGGATGGGGAACCATCCCATCTTTCTTTCTTTCATTCTATCTCTTCGTTTTCTTGATCAGTTCACAGAAGAAGTAGAGGCTGAGGTTATCAGCATTTTCCTGTGAATCTCTGTTTTACATCCACTGCTGTCATGGAACTTAACCGAAAACACCCGCAGGCCGTGGTTCTGCCAGTTCTATCTTCTTTCTCCATTGCTCTGGCTATTCCACCACTGATTCTGCATGGAAAGAACCGCAATTTCCCTGCTACCAGTCTGATATTCTGGTCAATTCTCCTCAACTTGTTCAACATCATCAATTCTCTCATATGGCCCACGGACGACGTGACAACGTGGTGGGACGGATCTGGTCTCTGCGACATCGAGGTCAAGTTTATGGCTGCCAGCTATGTGGGCATTCCAGGAAGCCTGGCATGTATCTTTCGAAGTCTTGCAATTGTACTGGACACAGACCGGGCCACATTAGTCCCGAGCAAAGGTCAACGTTGGCGCAATCAATTCATGGAGATTATGTTCTGCATTGCTGTTCCATTCATCGCAATGATTACACATATCGTCTGGCAGAAGAGTCGATACTTGCTATTTGCCATCTCAGGATGTGTGAACAGCTTTGACGAAAGCTGGGTTAGTCTCGTCTTTGCATGGATCTGGCCACCGATTATCTGTCTCATCGCAGCATACTATTGCTGTAAGTACACTCCAAAAGCATATCGCATACAACCAATCACCCATTAACTAAACATCACAGGCCTGGTCATCATCCGCGTACACAAGTACCGAAGTGACTTCGCAAACATCCTCCGCGCCTCCAGCAGCAATCTCAGCAAATCCCGCTTCCTCCGCCTCTTCTTCCTCGCCCTATCAATGCTCGTCTGCATCCTCCCACTCCAAGGCTACGTTGTTTACAACGACATAGTTCTCTCCCTCCCCTGGCACAACTACTCCTGGAGTAGAATCCACAACGGGAAATGGAACACCATCAATATGATCCCCATTGACGGCACCGTCTTCTTCGACCGCTGGATCCCCGTCGTATCAGGCTTCATGATCTTCATCTTCTTCGGCTTCGGCCGCGATGCAACACGCATTTACCGCACTGTCTTCTGGTATCTCGGACTGAGCTACTGCTTCCCGAGCATACAGCCTCCAACAGATACCCACAGCGGGCCCCCTTCCCCCGCGCACGCCTCAACAGCAACCACCCTCGTCGGCAGCATCGGCTCCCGTGCCAAATCGCTGTTTTCCCGCCAGAAGGAATCAATCGCGACTTTTGTCTCTACGCATGGTACATACAACGATCTGGAAAAGGGTACTTCTTCCAGTTTGTCCCGCAATAGCGATGGCAGGTCGGCCAAGAAGTCGCGATGGAATAGCTTGCCCTGGTCGCTCTTTAACAGACGTCACACCGGTCAGGATATTGATGGGACTCTGCTCACTGACCTCCCCGGCGCTACCTTGCAAACAGTCTCTACGAATGCGTGGGCTAGTCACCGTGATAGTCGGGACTTGCCCCGTGGGCCTACTCCCCCCGGGGAATAATAAGGATTTCATTCATGTGCGGCAAGTTATTAGCCAGCAGAGCGAGGTTAGAGTTGAGGTCTAGTGGGCTTGTTCTTTCTTCGGGGTTTTATCTGGGATTGCAGTGGCTGAATATGGTTCTCTAATCTTTCCTTCGCGTTGGGTTGAGTTCATGGGAATCTGTACATCAGAGTAGTACTACATAACTAAGTATCATAACATAATTTGAGTGGTCGAGTGACTCTCGTGCAAAATGAAAAAATGAAAAATGAAAAATAAATATCTTTGAATCTCTTTCTGCATTAGATGTTTGTTGGTAAACAAGTATAGAACCTAGCGGAGAACCTTCATATATATATCGCCATTACTCCCAGAGGGAACATGGAGATTGCTAATTGGTGTATAGATTATTACTAAGTGAGAGAAAGCAGATGAAGAATCATGATCTATTAAAGCTAGAAATCCAGGGGTTTATATACCCTGTTGCAACCATCTGAACAAAGGCTCATTCTGCAGCAAACAAGCAAACTAGCAAATAGCAAACATGCATGCTTGGGATGATGTTCCAACACTAATTATTAATCGGTATGTCTCAACGTACGAGATCGAAAGAACAATCCCGTCCTCCAATAACATACAGGAAGGTAGGAGTCGTCGAAGCAGTAGTATAGTCCACGGTAAGCCCTAGGGCTGGCATAAGTCATTGTAAGCTTTCGTGCATATAAAAAGAAATAATATGTCATGGCTTGAATCCAGAAAAGATAATACTTTGAACCCAGGAATCGAGCTTTTGACATGCCTAGGTATGTGCTCCATCACAGGCTCGAATTCACACACTACAGAATGAAGTGTATTCAGGGTATAATCGTACAATATAATCACTCCGCAAAGGAAGATTCGCTCATCCCCACCAGCTCCAAAATGAAACTAGCAACAAATTTAGATTGACACAGAGCCTCGATCAAGAAATCTACTGAGACTCGTCACCGCCGTTGCTGGGCCGCTTAAGGACCTCGAGAGTGCCTAGAAGGGTGTTAGATTGAACCTTGGTGATATTTATTTTTGTTCCCAGAGAGTGGCAACAAATGGAGAAAACGGAGGATCGACATACGCTGCACAATGTTCAAAGTGGACCGGGCGTTGCCGTCGGCATCTTCCCAGGGGGACATTTTGGCGTCGCCTTCGACGAACACGAGTGTTCTGCGGGAATGAGGTTAGCTCATCTGCATCAAGCCAAAGCTTAAATTGCTGAATTGGTGCAAGGCCGGACAGGGCCAATTGAGGAGCAGGGCAATCCCATAGCCTAGCCCCTACCGCTCAACCACGAACATGACATGAAGGAGTAATGTCTATCCGAAGGCGCGTCGCATCGCCGTCAAATCCACGTGGCGTATGTCCAAACAGGCCCGCACGATCACCATGCAGCTCTCAAGCGCGAAAGCAAGCTCTCGTTCTCGATCCGCATGGACTACCCGCGCAGACCTGCCGAATCCAAGCGACATATAGCAACAACACAACCGACAGAAAAGACGCATTCCAAGCACGCAGTGGTGTGTCTTGCACAATCTAGCAAAATATCAAGAATATCCACTTACCCCTTCTGCAAACCAAGGACGAAATCGCGCTGGGCGCCCTCGGGGACGAAGTTCGTGACGCGCCACCAGGTCGTCTGACGGTTCTCACGGCCGCCGTGGGATGTGGCAACAGTGTACTTGACGATCTCCTGGCCGGAAGAGGTGGCCTGGAGCTCGGGCTCTGCGCCGAGGCGGCCGGTGAGGGTCAGACGGGCGACGGAGTGGGCGGGCGAGGAGCTGAAGGCGCGGGCGGTCTGGGGGATACTGGCCATGCGCATGGCTGGGCGCAGAGATGAGAGGAAGGCGGACATGGTTGGAAGTAGGATGTGTGGATTATGGATTACCAAGTACAGTTGGGATTGGTTAATTGAGATTTGTTGTTGGTGATGCTGATAACACCACGTGATTTTGACACGTACCGCTTTCGGATGTGATATGGGGGCATAGGGACACTAAGTTGGGCTGCTATTACTATTTTACTATTACTATTAGTATTATCATTCATTTATTATAGCTTGAGTCAGGGATTCTGGTTGCAATTGATATCTCTTGGAAATAAAATTGGATACTCCGTTGTCATTTCGGCGAAGCTCTAAGCTTATGTTCCAGAGCTATAGCTCTACCCCGGAATCCCCCTTTGTGCAGGATTCTTTCTATTCACGGGTTCCGACAGCTATGAGCTCCAGAATTATAAATCCAACGTCTCAAGTCAAGAGTCCAAACAAAAAAGCAAGGACGAAAAAGCGAAGAAGTGCAAATCAAACGACGAGGGTAACTCTATTATTTTGAAATCTTTCATTTACCATGTGAATGCCAACACGAACACAGGGTATAATTTCCTTAGCCTGATCATGTCACAATCCATCACATCCGACTGTCCCGCCGAAGACTGTACAATCGTACCATTTGTATAATTTTACGGAGTACACCGCACAATAAACTGGAAATGGCAACCGATAGGCAGATCGGCCAGGGGGGCAGATCCCAGCGAAGAAGCTGCAATACCGCTAATTGATTGAGCCAGACCGAAAATAAATTAAGATGGCTGTTGTCTCGGATGCACTCCTTGCATTGTCAATTAGCGGCCTAACCACGTCGCTGCAGGAGAAGCGTTTGCGAGGCGTCAACAATGGCTAACATGGCTAATACGGTCTAGAGCTGCAGGCATCTGCAGGACAATGGTGAGATTGGTCAGGTCAGGTCAAAGGTCAAACTCAAAGATCAAATTGCTGAAGGTCAAATATTGAAATATTCGTTAAATTTGCCAAATCGATAGATCGGGCTGTGATGTCCGAGGTGCGGCGCCACCCGTGGAGAGAGAGAGTCTGCTATTTATTTTTTCCACCGCGAACTGTTGACTTGAATGTACGGAGTAAATGGTGAATCATTGCCTATAAGCGAGGGATGACAGCTCACTTGCATTAGATCTGCAAGCATATGTTGTTCAAAAGCTTCGCGAGTAAAGGAACTAGAAAAAGAAATAATAATAATAGTAATAATAATACTCCGTAATAATAATAATAATAATAATCAAACCCGCAAAAAAGCCAGGTTTCATGGTTGAATGGCAATATTCGTCGAAAGAAAAAAAAAAAAAAAAAAATTAAGATAATTAAGCCACAAGATGGAGACATGAGGATCTCTTCTCTCTCTCTTTGGTCTGTGCTAATGATACTAACTAACTAGTTCCTAATTGAGACAAGTTCATTTGTTAGATCGACCAATTCCTCGATCGGTGGGGGAAAAAAGTAGATAGCTCAGGTACAATCGCGTGGCTAAAATGATATTGTCCTCTTAAATTCCTTCTAGGGTTCATATTGGGTTTATATTGGGTTCTCTCTTTTGTAACTAATCAAACTCAAATTCATGTGAAATAAGTCCTTTTCCACCTCTTTTTCGTTTATATGTAGGGAGGTTTAGGGCTGGTCTCCGTTTGTTCCTTTTTTCCTTTTCTTTTCTTTAACTACCCTATAATGTCTCCCTAACGCCAGGCCAATTAATTCTTTTTTATTATTATTAATTATTAATATTCGTGTACCTTCAGGGCTCCCCCAAGGTCTATATTGATTTCACGCGCCAAACGTGTGAACATTGTGGGATGTGTGTGAAAGGCGTGCTGGGCTTACAATAACCACGCTTCTCAACGGAGAATCAATTGCATTTTGCTTTAGAAATCCAGCCAAGATGCGTTGGTCTTTCCTATTGGCCCTAATAGTGTCCCTGTTCCTACTGGGGTCATTGGCAGCACCAGCTTCGGACCTAGGACGACGCGATCTGGAAGTCGCCAACCTCAAGGCGAGGCAAGAAAAGGAAACGGACCCTACAACGACAGAGAATACTACCAGCGAGGCCACGACGACAACTCAAACAGATGCATCAAAAACAGTAACCGACGCGTCAACGGCTACCGAAGCTAAAACCTCCGGCACTACAACCCATGCTACGACGACTACTTCTGCCGCGTCCGCTACCTCGACTGTGCCCTCGCTCGATGGAACAACTCCATCTTCCCAGCAGCAAACGGCAGACTCCACTAAACCAACCTACTCCGGTGGCCTGCCAATCAGACCGGTAATCACGCCGGCATGGGGCGTTGGGGGTTTTATACTAATTGCCCTCGGAGCTATCCTGGCTTTCATTGGTGTCCGCCAACAATGGTATTGAATTTTTGATCCTTCGATGACAATAACATTTTGCTAACAAAGAAAAGGGTCCAAATCTTGCTCTCAACCGGATTCCTTAGCGCATTGGGAGTTACCGTAAGATCTATACTGCGGAAAATAATAAAGAATAACAAAACTAACCAATCTCTATACAGGTCCTCATTATCTATGTAATGAGCCCACCCGTAAGCAACGCCGTGCAGGGCGGCTATCTCGTCGCCGTCTTCTTCACCGGCGCTGTGTTCGGTGGTCTATCGCTCGTCTTCCGAGAAATCTGCGAGGGACTGGGCTGTCTTCTCGGTGGTTTCTGTCTGAGCATGTGGTTCCTTGCTTTGAAATCAGGCGGTCTTCTAACCGAAAGTGGCCCCAAGGCCGGTATGATCATTGCCTTTGCTGTGGGATTCTACTCCCTATCGTTTAGTCACTATACCCGGTCATACGGCCTGATCGGATGCACTTCGTTCGCCGGTGCAACTGCCTTGGTTCTTGGAATCGATTGCTACAGCAGAGCTGGACTGAAGGAGTTCTGGTTATACATCTGGGGTAAGTCTAATATCTTGTTTTCAAACTGTTCATAGTTGCTGACGAATCCAGGTTTGAACAATAACGTCTTCCCTCTCCGAACGGACACCTACCCCGTGACACGTGGTATTCGTGTTGAGCTCGCCGCGAATATCATTATTGCGGCTCTGGGGGTAATCTCCCAAGTCCGACTTTGGAATCTCATCAAGGAGCGCAGAGCCAGGGAAGAAGCTTCCCGCCGGGAACACACCCGAAAGATCGAAGAAGAGGATGCCGAAGTCGGTCGCCGTCTCGAGGAAAAGAATATCCAAGAGCGTGCCGAATGGGAACTCATTTACGGGAACGGAAAGGCTGCCGATAGCAAAACCGTCTCGGTTTCGGAGACTGCTGTCGGTGACTCGCCACGGGGCTCGGATGGGTTCGACTCCTCTGACAACGACAAGGAGGGTGAGATTGAGCTCAAGGAAATGCCGAGCCCGGATGTCTTGGGTAGTGCCTCTGACGGCGAGAAGAACCACCCGGGTGAAAGTAACACTCGTGAACTTGAGGCTGTGCCAGAGGAGGATTCATCCCAGCAGGATCAGCTAGCAGATCAGGAAAGGGGTGCCGAGAATGAGGGTCAATCTGAAGGAAAGACGCCGAGACCTTCTACACCTGTTATTACCCATGTCCTTGGCGAGGGCAATGATGATGCCTCTGAGAACGGTGCTGACATCGGTTCGGAGGTTGGTACGCCGCGCTCGAAACGGTTCTCTGGTAGAGAAATGTTGAACCGGCTCTCTTGGCGGAACAGCAATGGTGTGATGAATGCTTCACAGTCTCAGGAGAACCTGGTGACTCATGATGATGCCAGTTCTTCTGTACTGGGGGTTGTCGATGATCTTCATGAGATGAGCGTCGGTTGCTCGAGTGTTATCTCGGATGCTGAGGTTGACGATGGTGTTGAAAAAGTGCAACGAGAAATTAACGCTGAGCTAGCTCCGGAGAAGGACTCCGCATATGCGGAGATCAAGTCGAATGCCGGTTCACAAGCTGTCCAAGATACTGGACTCCATGTTGACACAACCACGGCCCAAAAAGATGCCGAGAAAGTGATCACCGAGGAGGCTGCTGTCGGCAAGATTGTCCAACAGGTATCTCCTCCCGAGAGCACCATTGCCGACAGTCCTTTGGAGAATTCAGGCATCTCCGAAGCGTCGGAAAAGCCCCAATCGCCGGAAACTCCCGCAACAGATGTTGAAGCAGACATTCCAGATGCTTCGATGAAGACCGAGGAAGTCAAGCCCACAGCTACATTGGGGCCATCACCTCTGAACAATACAGAAGGAGAAAAGATGGAGGATGGTAATGAAGATCCGCCTACTGCTAAAACCATCAAAGCCGAGTCCATTCCTGAGCCGGCTGCATCTTTGCCCGAGCCCAAGGTTGAGCCACAGATCAAAGTGCTCAAGAAACTGGATGCATCAAACGTCAAATGTATCCCCGAACAAACATCACGAGTGATCCATTCGTACCGCACGAACGAATGGGCCAAGCATCTTGCCGATGCGGACACCCCTGAAATTGAGCCAATCGAGTTCGAAGCTGAACCTGAAGTAGAAGACTCAGAGGATGTTCACGAGACCGCAGCATTTGTTGATGTAGGCGGTCTTCTCCAGACACCTCTCACTGCGCAGCCACCACCAATCGTGAACAGGCCTGAATTTGATGATACGGACAATCAACAACCTGCCTACATCTCATCGGTACCCTCGCCTGATATTCCCCGGTCCAAGACACGGACAGGCGCGCAAGGTCTCACCAAAGCGAATCCAAATTTAACCCGGAACAACTCGACAGCTTCAGTCAACGTGCTACGCTCAGCGTCTGGCCCGCTTCCAACTCAAGAACCGGGAATGATGGCGAGGCGCAACACATCAACTCCCATGTTGACAGTCACTACTGCCAACGAGCCCAAAGAAGCAGAGCCATCATCACGCTGGAATGGACCACCTCCCCTCCTCGCAATCCGCGAGAATATGGTCCGAAACCGCATGTCCTCAACATCCAACCGCTTCGATCCCTGGGCCGCACGCAACCTATCCCGACAGTCCCTACCTGACATGGCGACCCCCGTCTCCCCAATTTCACCACCGCTCTCCGTCCTCGAAGAAAGGGACATAGAATATGAACAAGCCCAACCCAACGAGGACGACATCCCACTTTCCAAGCGGCGCGCCCTACTACAGCGTCAGACAGTGCAGTCCCCATCTACATTAAGCCTTGCCAACCTCGAGGCTGCCCAATCCCCAACGTATACCCCACCAGCTCCCGCCGGCGAGTTGAACCGGTCTGCTTCAAGAATGGCAGAGTGGCGACAATCGGTCCGCGAGGAAATCACCCAAAAGCAAGATCCTTTGACTCTCCAGTCCAGACCACTCAGCCCAACCAGCCCCACTGACCGGCGCACTACATGGAACTCTGTGCAACAGATGCGCGACGCCTCCTCTGCTCAGCTGGGAGATGCCATCGCAGACGGCATGCAGCGTGGCAACATGACGGATCTACATCGCCAGGCGATGCGTCGTATGCAGGCTTCGGCGAATCGAAAGCTGTAGTGCCCATGGTTCATTTTACTCGATACCCTTTGATTTGTTTCATTTTTTTTATATATATACATATTCTATATCCTAGGTGTTGTTATTACACGCCATGGCGATGTGTCTTTCCAACGACTTTATGAAGTACTTATTGCATCCATGTCTATAATTACTATTTGATAATGTATATTTTTTTTTTTTGCTTAATTCATGCCTACGCAGCAAGTAAGACGGTCTTACCGAGCACTCTGCCGAGACTTGGCCTGAATTGAAATACAGTTCGTCATTGATAATATAGCAATAGTACCTCGATTAGCGTTTGCTAGAGTGTAGAGTGTGCATACTATATACCCAAATTTACCCAATAAAAGCCGAGATGAAACAAGGGACGGTGGATTAATCACAGTGAAACCGGGGGGGCAAACGACTCGCATATATTTTTTTTATTAGGATCATTATTGGATGTGTATCCCTTTCGAGTCTCTTGTCACTTTGATATAAGATGTAGCATCTCTTTTTCAGGTCCAATTTTCTATTCTTTTTCTATTCTTTTTGTCATTTAGCCAGAGTCAATATTATATACGCCAAGCAAGCTTCTTATTATATACACGGATTTATAAGGATTTCTCGAATTTCACCTCGAATTTCGTCGACAAATTCAAATCTCCTTTCTCTTATTCCCCTAATTCTTTTCTAATCTTATTTCTCACACTCATTTTTGTTGTATGTCCACATAGGGCACTTTTTTCCTGGCCCGGTCTCCATCTCCACTCCAGTTCTCTCCCCTCTCCTTTCTCCCCTCAAAACGGCGTCCTTAAAATCCCCCAGACCTCATTCGAGGGAGGAAGAAGCATATTGTTATTCACGCAGCCAACAATTCCTACCCCGGCCTCCAGCCAATCGCGCCCCGGTGGAGTCAACTCCGTCATTCGTTCGCGCCCAGCGGCGACAGTGCGTTCCGATCTCAGGCCCGCCGTCGCTCCTCCGCCCACCAGCAGTCCGACTCGCAAACCCAGTCAACCACGTCCCACGAATAACCCCAATAACTGTCCGCCCCCATCAATCAGACGATAGTCTCCCACTAGGCTTCGGCCACTCACGCGACGCCCATCCCCTCCTCAGCGTCCCAGAGCGGCGCCGCAGTCGCCTAACCCCGTCCCCGAGCAGCCTACTCGTCGAGCGCAGCCAGGGGGAAACAGAAAGTGGCCGGACTAGCATTGCCTTGCCTAGACGACATCGTCGCAGCGAAGAATTCACAGAAATGGCCGCCGCGTTCGCGGGCAGCGCTGCGCGCGAAACAGAGAACCTGCGACCTCCTGAAGCTGTTCACCTCACACAGAACGGAACTCGTCAGAACGACCGTCCCCGCCACGCTCAGTCACAAACTTCCCTCCGCTCTCAGTCTCAGATCGCTTCCGTCCCGTCGCATACTGGTCAGCCGCACGCCGATGTCGCTGAGGAACTTGCTTGGGGCCCGGCTCACCCTTGTTTTCCGCATATTAATCCCCATGTGCCTATCGGGTCGAGGGAGCATATGACAACGCGTGTGATTCGGATCCGGCGCGATTGGATGATTAAGGGTGATTTGGCGCCGACGTTTTCGAATCTGTATCCTGAGATTCTCGATCCGTTGTTGTCGGAGCAGGAGTTCCGACGGGTGATTTCTACCGTCAATGATGGCATTGTCAAGGCATTTGACCCGTTCAGTTTTCGCAATTGGTTCGATGGCGCATTGGGTTTGTTGACTGGCTGGGTATGGGATGATATCAATGCCCCCGCGACGAAAAGCCAATTACAGCATGTCGAGGCTTGGTTGGAGACTTGGAACCGTGAGGTCGGCGCCAAGGATGGTGTTCATATCTGGAGCTTGAGGCGGACGGCGTATATGTCACTTGATATCCAGATTCCCGATCCCAAGGTTGGCATCGTCCCCAGTGAGGCACCTTCGGCTCCTAATACCAGGCCGAGTACTGGTATCGGGGCTGGATCTTGATTGGTTTTCTTGTCGGGCAGGAGTGCGCCGCTCTCCCCCTTTTGCTTTCTGATTGTACATCTTTGTGATTTGTTCCCTTTCATGGGACCTCTGCATGATATCCATCCCGCGGCCGTTTTTCTCGACACCGATTCTTCCCTTATATACCTTCGTCTTTTCAGTTCGAGGCTTTCTTTTAATCTTTTTGTGATCTGATACCTTTCTTTCATATTTCTTCTGTTAGCTTCGCCTACATATCCCTGTTGATTCCCCAAGGGGCTACTTTACCCTGATTTTTTATTGTCATCTTGACCATACCTCTCTTTCTTTGTCCATATCTGGCTGCCATACTGCATTCTAATCTTTAGACTCGTTGGCATTCTCAAAAGAATAATATCGCGGATTTGCCTTCTCTCCGCTTTAATGCTCATTTCACCTTGATGTTTGATAGAAGTAGAACAACCCATTGGTTCATATGGTACTTATACATTTAGCTAGTGTTTGCTTTGCCTGCATGGCAAGCCTTCTACGGTAGTTTCTGGTATCCACCTTGACAAGCCATACGGAGTACATTGGACAGAATATCAACACAACAAGGATTTATATCAAGCAATTCCCGGTATAGTCCACCATGGATTGATAACTTCATTCCAAAGCCTATACATTTGCCACCAGTCTAAGACAGTCTCGTCAATGTTTCCTGATCCTTCTCATCCAAATCCGGATGCTTAGATTACACAAATCCTTCCAAAATACCTTGACATCTTCTTGGTCGGTCTTAGAAAACAACGTAGAGGTCACATGCCTTAGCCGAAGATACCATTCTTGTCAGTTCCTTCTTTTCTTTTCTTTTAAATTTATAAGAAATCAGCAGATTACAGACAGCAGGAGTATGCATGCACCTAAAATAGATGTAGTGGGATGGTTTCATCCACTGGAGTTGACCTCCTTTTATACCTCAGGCGGTGTCGATCCACCCCCACCCCTGTTTCCGCAGCTCTCCAACTTCCATTCCCAGGAGCAACTCGTCTCATCGCAACAATATGCTCTCGGGGATCCTCATATTTAACCAGAAGGGCGAAAACCTCATTTTTCGCGCCTTCCGCAGCGATTGTCGTCCGCGACTAGCCGACATCTTCCGCATTCAAGTCATCTCCAATCCCCAGGTGCGCTCGCCGATCCTGACCTTGGGCTCGACGACCTTTAGCCATGTCAAGCATGAAAACATCTATTTGGTAGCTGTGACCAAGAGCAATGCCAATGCTGCGCTGGTCTTTGAGTTCCTCTACCGGCTGGTCATGCTGGGCAAGAGCTATTTTGGGAAGCTCGACGAGGAGGCCGTGAAGAACAATTTCGTCCTGATTTACGAACTGCTCGACGGTAAGAGATAGAAAAGGCCCAATGACCTAGAAGCAAACCCTAACAATTGATGATAAAGAAATCCTCGACTTCGGATACCCCCAGAACACCGATCCAGATACCCTGAAAATGTACATCACAACCGAAGGCGTCAAATCCGCCATCGCCAACAACCCAACAGACTCCTCCCGAATCACCCAACAAGCAACAGGCGCCATCTCATGGCGCCGCTCCGACATAAAATACCGCAAAAACGAAGCCTTCGTCGACGTAATCGAAGACGTCAACCTCCTGATGTCCGCAACAGGCACCGTCCTGCGCGCCGACGTAAACGGCCAGATCGTCATGCGCGCGTACCTAACAGGCACACCCGAATGCAAATTCGGCCTGAACGACCGTCTCCTTCTAGACACCGGCGAGACCTCCAGCAACATGAATAACCCCGGTGGCGGCAACGGACTCAGCACATCAAAGACCACACGCGCCGCGGCAGGCTCCGTCACGCTGGAAGACTGCCAGTTCCACCAGTGTGTGAAGCTTGGCCGTTTCGATGCAGACCGCATTATCTCGTTCGTGCCGCCGGACGGCGAGTTCGAGCTGATGCGCTACCGCGCCACAGAGAACGTCAACTTGCCTTTCAAGGTGCACCCGATTGTGCGCGAGATCGGTACCACAAAGGTCGAATACAGTGTTGCTATCAAAGCCAATTACAGCTCCAAGCTCTTCGCTACAAATGTGGTTATTCGTATCCCCACGCCGCTTAATACTGCCAAGACTACGGAGCGCACGAGCCAGGGCCGCGCCAAGTATGAGCCGGAGCAGAACAATATCGTTTGGAAGATTGCGCGTTTCTCCGGACAGTCGGAGTACGTGCTTAATGCTGAGGCAACGCTTACAACTATGACGCATCAGAAGGCTTGGAGTCGTCCGCCGTTGAGTCTTTCGTTTAGCTTGCTCATGTTTACCTCTTCTGGTTTGCTGGTGCGCTATCTCAAGGTCTTTGAGAAGAATAACTATAGCTCTGTCAAGTGGGTACGGTACATGACTCGCGCAGGGAGCTATGAGATTCGGTATGTGTTTTCTCTTTCCGCTGGTGTTATGAATTTTGTCGCTAACTCAATCGCTTCGTTTAGATTCTGATCATTCTTGAACCTTCGAGGTGATTTTGGTTCGTGTGGGAGATAATTCCATCGAGCAGTGTTGATATCAATGGACCTAAGTCCAGTTTCGTGTTAATTTTACTTTGCGCAGCACAATTGGTGTCTGGCGTTGGATGGAGCCATATACATACTGGATTTTTCACAAATATCCAATTCCTCATTTCCCGTACTTTGAATATATGCATATGCTTGTAGGTGAGTTTGAGGTTGAGCCCTAGAGATATTCAGAACCATGGCCAAAAATATTGAAGTTGTATAATATCAGGGTTTTCACTTTGCTTCAGGTATATCCATACCAGGCGCCATCGGGTCTACCACCTGAGCTGAGAGAGCTGGTCAAAAACAATACTATGATGAGATGATTGTAACTAGCATGCATTGAACGATAGTCGAAATATACGCCTACTTTTTTAATAGTTGGGAGTAATAGATAATGAAAAGGGTAAGTCAAGTTGGTAGTAGTAGATAGTAGTACAATTCCCAAAACAGCAGGTGTGGAAGAGTAAGTCCACAGAAAGAACAGTATATGAGCAAGAAAAAAGAAACAGAAGCATATTCACATAGCCCGAGTAGAACGGAACCCACAACACCGGACGAAGCAAAAGAAAACAAGCAATTTGTGCTGGCCAATAGACAACAAACCGAAAAGAAAATAAACAAATCTCACAAATACAGGAAGGTATGATAATACAGGGGTGTTTTGACAAAAGAAACCAAACCAAGTCAGGCCAAAGGGAATAGGGTCAGTCACAGAGTGGTACAGAGATCATATAATACATTAATAATTGGAAAGACGGTAATAATTGCCATAAGCAATAATTCAACGACGCGGGCGCAGGCCGACACGACCCTCACCAACGAGGGACTGCCACCTGGACCCGACGTGGCTGCGGCCTATTTGGCGGGCGCACTCATCCCATTCTTGTTGGGAGAGGGTAAATTTCTCAAGGACCAGCTTGAGAAGGTGTTGGTCTTCTTCGGGGGTCCAGTCTTGTGGAGCGGAAGGAGTGTGTTCCCCTGACACCTCGATGGAGGGCAGAGGCGCATCTGGGTTGACGCATGAGCCAGCCGGGATGTCATAATCCATCTGGCGACGGGGAGGAGAGGGAGGAGATTGGGTGACAGGAGGAGAGTGTAGAGAGTAAAAGTCCGTGGAAGAAAGACCGAGAGGCATATTGTACGGAACGTGACGGCGGCGTTTGGGAGTCGCGAAGAGGTTGCGCGGGCGACTCATCTCTGCGTCGCTGTCATCGTCATCGAAGACGTCGCGGCGGCGCTTGTTTGCGCCCCGCGTGGGTGCGGATGGAGGAGGGGGTGGTGAGAGAGCGGCGGTTCTGGGTGGTGGTGTTTGTCTAGGAGAGACTGGGCGCGCGGCTTTTTGCGATCGCGGCGAGCGACGGGGTGTGTTTAAGGGGAGGGGGCTCTGGAGGCGTTGGGATTTCATCGATCGCGGTGATGGCGTGGGTGATCTGTTGAGTAGAGACTGTAGTGCGCGGCAGGTACCGAGGAGACCGTTGCCTGATGGAAATCCTGTGTCGGATGGGGGAGGTGTTGAGAATAGGCGACTGGGAGTGAAACGAGACGACCGGCGCACTTCGCATGGGAGGGCGGATGGGAGAAGCATGATTGTAGATATAAATTTAATTGCGCGATTTGAGCGACTTGAAGTTGGTTTGAAGATGAATGATATCAAAGAGAGAGAGAGAGAGAGTGTGTGTGTGTGTCAACGAGTTGTTGCGCTTGCGCGGTCGCGCGATTTGTGGGTAGGCTGCGATTGCGCCGGAGGCGGTTGCGATGTGCGACGAGGGAGTTGAGGATGCGAAAATGAATGAATGATCTTCTCGTTGAAATGCGCTTCGATTTCCACCTTTTCCGGGAGATGCGACAGCAAGTTGGTGATATGAATGTTTTGGACGAGTTGTTGGAAGAAAGAAGTTGGAGGGGAAAGGCCGATAAAAAGAAAATTGGGGCCGCAAACGGTCAAGCGAATGATCTCCGGTGCAACGTCAAGTTTATTTTAGGGTCAAAGAATGTGATCTATTCTTGATTTCAGATTTCGAAGTTCAAAAGAACTATGAAACAGTTGAAAAAGAATGAAGTGTATGAGAAAGATCTCAAGAAAGGGCTCAACGAAAGTGATGATAGGATAGAAAATACTAGATACAACCAGGAATGAAGAAGGTCTTACTACCTTTCAATTATACTTGTAGCTACTCCAGGACTTGGAACTGTAGAACTTCCAGTGAAACAGTATACTAAGGAGTCTAGGACAAGAGGGATTCCATGCAAGGCGCATACAAAGAGAGGGTAACAGGCACGAGGCACCCCTGAGACACCTGGGCAACTGATTCCAATTACATTTCCTATTTGGGCAACAGATCGACCCTCGAGTTTCTTTGAACTTTTCTTGAAGATCATGATTGTATTGTACGGAGTATTGCAATGGAATTCAAGCCTGTAACGTTGAGCCTAGATGTTAAGACACGCTAAGTCTATTCTCCA